AGATTTATTATAGGTAAACTAGCTACGGGTATCTCAAATAAATAAACTCTAATTCCCACAAATTCCTAATTCCTAAAGCAAGAACGCCAGATACCGGCCCTATTTAGGACTTGGTAAAGAATTGGCTAATACTTTCCGGAATCCGCTTATCTCTTAACGGGATATAGTTATACTATAATAATATTAGTATTAAGGATATTAAGAGAAGTAAGTAAGAAACTTATAATAGTCATATATGCCTTATAAAAGGCCCGAACTTCTAAAGTCAGGTCCTAAATAGCCATGAGTATTATATTATTAGTGCTTAAAGCACTAGTAATAGACTACTTAGTAATCTCGGTAATAAGCTCGGTAATAAGGTTAATGCCTTAAAGATAGATATTGCAGTATTTCTTTAAGGAATTAGTAAATACCTAAGCATATTAGAAAAAACTTACCTTTGGGATACTAACCTAAGTAATATTATTATCTGCCTTATTAAGACGGGAAGAAGAATTCCAAAGCTTATTAGTATTCTTCTAGTCTTTGAAAACCTAATTAATAGTATTATCCTCGTTAGTATAATACTATTTAGGATATGCTTTAAGAAATTTCTTAAAGGTCATAATAGTATCTTCCCAGGACCGGCAAGCCTCCGACAAGTAGCGAGGAATCTGAAATTACATTAGCTTTAATAAATATTAAAGCTAAAGAACTTACTAATATATAAGACTTAGAACCCTTATTATAACGGTCGTAATTCTTCTTGCCAGGTACTATGGTATATAAGGTAAAGGGATTAATAAGCAAATACTTAAAATATTTCAAGTATCTGCCAGTAATAGGAAAGAAGGCTACGAGATTACCTTTACGCTTATTATTACGGGAACGGATAATAAAGCCAGAAGAAGATATTATGGAATTAATTAAAAATAATTAAAGAAGACTTAGAGAAGGGCAAAAGAAGAGGCTAGAAGGTAATAATAGAAAAAGTTATATATGGTTATTAGAAAGAAAGAAAGTATATAATAATATAAAGAGGTCCTTTTATAGAGATAAAGAACTACCTGGATTAACTACTAGTTTTTGCACTAGTCCTAATCAGAAACTAGTATAACCGATTAATGCATACTCCCAGAAGCCCGCAAATAATCTCTAGAACCTTAGAAATATTCGCATAAGTTTCTTATACGAATATTTATTAAATACTTTCTATATAGCTATTTAGATTATTCTAATACGAGATCTAATAGGTAGTATTAGTTTCGTGAGGTAATGCCTTAGTACTTTGGATTAAGCTAATTAGAACGCTCAGATCCCAAACAAAATCGCAATTACCGGCTAGCCCCTATACCTGGGGTATAATTACCCTTTCTTCTTGCTTACTTAGCCCTAATCTAATTAGACAATTTTTATATTTATTATCCAGATTATATTAGCAAAACCACCTCCCAAGATACTAGAAGTTTACATTAATTAAATAATTAATTAATTAAATATTTACTAGGATAGATTAATGAATCTTGGGGACAAGATCCTAGGAGGGGGGCATAGTTATAATATATACAGGGACGCACGTAACTTAAAGGCATGTAATGAATCTCGGATATCGCGGGTATTAATTAGGGAGTTCGGTAGCCCTTTAATATCCTAACTAACCACTATTTATATTATATGTATTAGGCTTATAAATCACTAATTATATATATGCTATCGGGGCCTCCTATTTAGAGGGGGCTTCCCTGGACCTTATAGGAGGAACAGAGATTAGTTCTATACTAAATTTAATACTATGGTTTCATAATACACTAATTCATTCTATTATCTTATTACCTACTAATAAACACCTCATATAAAGGATAGGAAAGACGCTTATATATATTAATAGCTTAAAGAAGGCAGTTTAACTATACTATATATATTTAAGAAACTTTAAATAGTATTAGAATAAGAAATAAAAAAAGAAATTTGCAATTTATAGAATTATACTTCTTATTCTTAGAGTAATAGTAATTATATACCGAGTAATTATTACTCTTAATATAAGTAAAGTCGGGAAACTTAGTAATATTCTTGAAATATTAAAGATAATAAGGGCGAATTAAGAATATAAGAGTATTAGCCAAACGGGTAGTAATAGGCTAATAAGTATTAAGAGAAGTATTTATCTTAATAAATAAAGAAGTAGAAAAGGAAATTAGAAAGGAACTTAAATAAAGCTTAAATAAGGCTTAAAGGAGCTTAAAGGAGCTTAAAGAAGGCTTAAAGAAAGAAGGCAAGGAATGAGGAAAAGCTAGATACGATATTATAATTAAGAAAAAGAAAGGTTAGTTAGTGAAAAAAGGAAGGCCTTTTTATAATATCCTCTTCCCGAATAGTAATTACGAATTCGGAACCAGTTCTATATTAGAAATACCCAGAAAATTCCAAAGAAAAGATTTATAAATAAACCAGAAGATCGGATTAACTTTTCCAAGCTTTTGGGCCTATAAAGTAATAATTTATTTGCAAATAGAGGCTAAGTTAGGATTTACGAACTAATTAGAAAATCAGATAAACTTTATATCTAATAATATATATTATATTTATATTATCTTTATAAGAGGAAATTACTAGAGGCGATTTGCGAACTAGCTAGAAAGAATTAGTAAACTATATCCTTAACTCTATTACCTAGTATAATAATAGAGTAATTATAGGAAGTCTTTAGGAAAAGCCAGCGGCCAGAAAAGTTTTAGGGAAATATTTATAAAGCTATTTGCAGTTTTTCCAAGCCTCTTAAGAATAAGGGCCTAGAGAAGGAATTAATATAATAGATATATATAATAGTATATAAACAGGTATTAGATATTATAGATCTAGTTTCCTATTTTGGATATAGCTTATAATCGGAATTATATGAATTATATAGGATTTCCTAATTAAGTAAAGGGCTTCGTATATCTGGCTAAGTACTAGGGAATATATAGGGAGACGCTTCTAGCTTTAGAAGAGGCATTAATTAGTCTTTTATTAGAATTAATTCTTGGAATTAGTTATACTTATAAGCATTACTTTATAGCTTACTTATCTTAACTACTTATATATTATCCTACTATTATATGCCTTATATATATTCTATATCCCGTAATTATATACGTAATATATAAGGTTATATAACTATATCTCGTATCCTATATCCTATTACCTATATCCTATTACTTATATCCCGTATCCCGTATCCTATAACTATATATATAACTCCCAAAGAAATAGCTATACTAATAATTTTATTAATAAAAACTTTTATATAAAATAAAATAAATGAAATACAAATTTCTAGTTTATAAATAATAAATTCTATATAAGTTTAAATAGCTTTATTTTTTTTCTTAATAAAAGGAAATAAAAACAAACTTTTTTTTATTAGCTAAATTAATATTTAAAAGGCTTTAACTCGAAAATAAAAGAAAAACCTTATATAAAGACTTTTTAAAAGTATTTAGTTTAATTAAAATAAAAAAGTTATTATTTATTTAAAATTAAATAAAATTAATTATTAAGTTAAGCTTAAAGAAGTTAATAAGAAAGAATTTATAATATTAAAAGACTTATATTATAATATATTACTTTAAGATAAATAAATTTATAAAAAGAATAAATTAAATAATTAAGACTTTTCTTTATATTTTTTTATAAAATATAATTAAATAAATTAAGTAGTTCTTTTATTCTAATATTATATTTATAAAAGCTAGTTTCATTTTTTATATAAATATTATATAAGCCTTTATAGCTTTAAAATAAAGTTAATAAGAAAAATATAATATTATTATTTTATATATAAGCTATAAATTAAAAAGAAATTAAGCCTTAAAATTAAAAACTAAAAATAATATTTAATTTAATTTCTAAAATATTTATATAAATAAGTTATTTAAGAAGCTTAAATTTTTTTTGGAAATATATAATAATTAAAAGTATAAAGATTTATAATATATTTTATAATAAACTTGCTATTAAAGTAATTCTAAATTAACTTATATTCTTAATTATAGCTTATAAATAATAAAAACAAATACGAGTTTAAATAAATTATTAATAAAATAAAAAGATTATATTTGTATTATATAAGAATTATATTCTATATTTAAAGAATAATAATACTAAAAGTATAAAAAGAGGTTATTTAATAAAAGAAAATTATATTTATATATTTATAAGATTAGTATTTTAATATATTTTATAAATAAAAGTAAAATTAAATAAAATTAAAGAGAAAATTAAGTTATTAATTTAATTTAAAGTAATAAAAAAGATTTATTAAAATATTATATATTTTATTATAATTAATTTCTTGTTCTCTAATTTTTAATATCTTTAATATTATAAGAGTTATAAAGTATATAATTATTTTTATATAAGCTTATATATAAAGAATTATATTTTATATAAATAAAAAATTATATTTACTTTAATATAATTCTTAAAATTTGAGTTCTTTTTATTTATACTAAGCTTATAAAAGCTTAAGGGGCCTTATAAGGCCCTATAAGTTTAGATTTAATAAATTATTTACTTAACTATATATAGGTTTTCTAAAGCATTTTTGTATTTTATATAATAAAAATTAAAAAATTAAAAAACTTCCGTATATTTTAATACTCAATTACTAATTAACTACGGGTTAAATTAAGAGTCTGATTAATAGGTTTCATTTGCCTGATTCTTCTTTATAATTGCATTACTTAGTATTAATTAATCAGGGTTGCAATTAAAAAGTTATTGTGGGCGCAAAAGGGCGACTGTTTGGTCGCTTTGGGATTTGGACCGGCTGTAGCCGAGGATGCTTACGCTCGGTTCAGGCATACTCAGGCCGTGGTTGGGCTTGCTCAGGTATGCTTACCTTCGGCTCAGGTCTGCTCGTCCTATTTACGCGTCCGGGCGCGCTGGCGCTTACAGACACCGCGCTATTGGTGGTAACGATCAGGCTCATAAGCAAAGAAATCCCCGCCTTTGATCGTACTCAATCCCCTCAATTTAGAGATTCCCGTGCACCAAAACTCGATACCTTCCCAAAGCCGCCGTATGGGAATATCTCTCTCTAACTCTTTCAACAATGGATCCTTTGAGAGTTAGTACCTCGGCGTTGACTGATATTATCGCGGCCACCAGTACGTCGGTGAAGGCCCTCCATGAGACAGTGAAACGCTACAAGGGTCGCGACAAAACGTTAGGTAGACTACAAGGTGGTCTCCTGGATCTTATTGCGATTTTGAACTCGCTGGAAGCGGCCGCTAGTGGTGAAACCCCGGATTTGACGCTTTTGAAGGGCCCTGTTGGTCGATGCGCCCAGGTGTGTCGCGAGTTCGAAGGCGCTATGAAAATATTTAGCGGAAAGTCGAAAACGGGCTTAAAAGACTGGACAAAGATGGAGTTCATGAGAGGTGACATCAGCGAATTCATTGATACTCTAACGGACTACAAGTCGACAATCACTATTGGCCTGGGTTATATCACTATGTAAGCTTCGTTACGTATCTAGGGGGCTTTACTAACCCATTTTCTAGGCATGCTTCTAGACTTACTCAACAGGTTATCGAAGAGTATAATGAGATGATCAAAGACACGGCTTACAATCTCGAGATGCGCCTTCAACGCATCGATGAGAAAATAACAAGCGTTGCTGCGGATCGTCCAACTCTCTTAGAGGATTCAAGCATAGATCTGCAGGACGAGAAAGCAGTGACAGTACAGTGTCTCCGCATCTGTGAACGTGCGAGCTCTTATATCAAGTTATTACAAGATGAGCAACCGGCGTTGCAAAGAGAATCACCTCCGCTGGGTGGTGGATATGTGTTGAACCAGTTTGAAGCGCAGCTTTTGACACAAAAATCGCTGAACGAGAACCGAGACAATCTGCTAGAGACGATCGGTCGCCTTCGGGAACGCCTTGACTCTATAGCCTTCAATAGGGGCCCTGACGGCGACAGCGAGACGTTGCGGTTGCAGGAAGAGGTCAACTTCTCGAAGCAGTGTTTGGAAGTGTGCAAACAGGCCTCCAGCCAAGTGTCTACCCAAAAGATACACATCATTGGAGAGGTCATTGCCGACGAAGACTGCGATCAAGTAGTGGTAACAACTCTTGCGGATCTCTTCAACGTCGGAAAGGTGAAGGCCATGAGCGGGTCGGCGCAACTGGTCGGTTCAATGACGGCCGATGTGCTTCGGGATATGTCCAAGGATCGCTACAACAGCCGGTTCGGTGCTGTATATGACAGCCTTGAGAAAGCACAATTGGGCACCGCTACCGCGTCGCCATCCACTTTCGAAACTCGAAAGGCCGACAGATCTCTTATGAAGTCAAATCAGGCTAAGGAAGATGGAAAATTGGCAGGTCCAGAAATAACATACGACAAACCATCCTCTAATGAGGTGAGAAGACGGAGGGCTGAGGGTGAAGATGGGACAAAGAAGTCTAGCCATGAATAGAGAAACTTTAACGCCATTTCGACAGGAGCACTGAATTTTAAGCATTAGATAGCTATAATTACTAAGAAGTATCCATTTGATTTTACTACTCTCTCACTACATATGCGGGAATAGTCTGCTTCCCCATCTGATAATGTAATTAAAAAATGATTCATTTCTTCTAATATAAAGCTCCGGCACTTATTGAGAAAGAGACGCTTATAAGATTCGAAGATTTAATAAGGTCTTTTCTAATGTCTACTGCTTATAACTAAGCTAAAATAAGGCTAGTATAAGGGTATATATTATATAGGAATTACTAAAAACTCGCCTGCTCTTTAATAAAGAAATTAAAGGCTATTTAAGTTACTAATAAAAGCAAAGCCTTAAATAACTTTAGTATTACTCTAATAATTATTTAGTTTAAAAAGAAAATTAAAGAAATATAAAAAAGAAATTAAAGAATAATATAAGTAAATAATTAATATATATATTCTCGGTTTAATAAAATAATTATTACTATTTCCTAGTTATATTGAATTTCATTTAAAAAAGAATTAGCTAAATTCTTTATTTATATAATATTTATTAAATAAATATAAAGAGATTTTACTTAATTTGTAACGGCATTAACGAAGCAATAAACGAGGTATAAAGATCTAGAATTTCAATGTCTTAAGGATCTAAAGCTAAAGAGAGAAGGAGAGAGTGAAGTGTTGTGGTGGATAAGTAAGGTACGACTAAAACAACTGAAATGCCGAGTGCTTGGAGCTTAGCCTGGAACCTTAGCTGAAAATAACTCGTAGCACTCACGGAATAATAGCTATTTTAACAAAGGTCGTGTGAGAGATAAGAAAGTCTTTGATCTTGTAGAAATTAGTTACAAACGAGGATACGAAGCTAAGGACAGAAGAAGAGAGATTAAGGCAAAGGAGCGACTATATACATATATAAGATTCTAGTCACACCCAAGGGTTAGTTCGTTGGAACTAGCAGTGCAGTGGAGAAGTCAATCCGTCGATCACTCCTGATACCGCTCTCTAGGCTCTATTACTCCTTGGACCTTGCTTTCATTACATCTGCAGACAAGTAGAACAGCACCTGCAAGCGCAGAGAGAACATAATCGAGAGAACGTCCTTGGTTGCGGAGATTGATCGTAAATTGCCTTTTCTATCCTTCCTTCTCGTCTGCTATTTATATCAAGCCTCAGTGTGGGCAAAAACTACTCAAGTTACTCAAGCTACTCTAGAGTAGTCTTGAGTAGAGTAGAGTAGAGTTTGAGTAGCGTAATATGGTACTTGAGTAGTGTGACGGCTGGTGTCACATGGTTAATACGGACGTGGTTTCAGCTAAGGTTCCAAGCTATGGTTCAAACCAAGCTCGCTTCCAAAGCTCGGCGTTTCAGTGGTCTTGGCCATACCTACTTATCCACTGCCACACCTCACTCCTGTCCTCCTTAGCTTTAAATTCTCAAGACATAGGAAATCATTGATCTTTGAGCCTCGTTCCATTGCTCTGTTCCTGCCGTCACAAGTAGAGTAGAGTAGAGTACTACTCTAGAGTAACTCAAGAGTAGTCACGTGCAAGTCACGTAAATATAATAAATCAATATTTATTTAATTATTAATAGATAAATAAGGTACATATTAAGTAGCACTATACAATTTAAGCTAGAGCTTATATAAGGCTACTTAAATACCACTTTTCTTCTATAAAAACCAGATTTCCCTCCTCGAAATCTTTCTTTTCCTGCTTTTTTTCTTCTCCTTTTACTTCTTCTAATTCGTCTTTAAATAACTCCCAGCTTTTTAAGTAAGATATTATCTTAATAGTACTCTTATTAAGTCTATTATATAATTTAAATAATAAGAGTACCTTGAGAGAAGAGTTTGCCCTTAATAGCTAAGGAAGCCTATGAATATATTAAGGTTCTAGCTTGCTTACTAAGCCTTGCCACTACTTAATTGGGCAGTGCAGTGGCGCTAGACTCGGGCTACCCCGGAGCCTTACCTAATTAGGCTAGTGTGTCACGTGTAACATCACGTGTAGTATCACGTGCATACTACTCAACTACTCTAGAATATTCTAGAGTAGTTGAGTAGAGTATTGAGTAGAGTATGAGTAGTGAGAAATTTATTTGAGTAGAATATGAGTAGGGCCCACTACTCTACTCTACTCTACTCATTTCCCACACTGTGACAAGCCTTTTGGCAGAGGCGGTGCGTTTGTCACTTAGTAAAATTTTACCTTGTTGAACACTTAGCCTCCTCAACTTTCAAAGATACGGAATAGAAGATTCACCAGGAAAAGAATTTATCGTAACAACGAGTCCCAGAGTTAAAGGTATTACGTTACATGGACAAGGTGCTTGCAGAAAATCCGCGGCTTCGGGGATGAGTCAATCCGAACTTCAGTCAGCCAATGCACGGCGAAAATTTCCTAAGCGCCCAGAGTTCCGATAGCGCAATAAGATTTCCAACGAAATATTTGGGGTGAAAGACCTTACAGAGTCATCCCCTCTCTAATCTGAACAGTATATCAATCTGCTATCCTCGATCTTCCCAACAACATGGTCTACAACTCTTTCGGCGATTCAAGCGAGAGGGAGTCGGAATCCCTAAACGCCCAGAACAACGAGTCCAACACAACCCTCGCAACCTACTCAACTTTCACTAACTCCCAGAAACGACTCATCGTATTTTTAACCGCCTTCACGTCTCTCTTCTCCCCACTAAGCAGCATCATCTACTACCCCGTCCTAACATTCATCGCGCAAGACCTCAACGTCTCCTTAGAGATGATGAACCTAACCATAACGTCCTACTTGGTGATCTCCGGGATCGCTCCAGCATTGCTTGGAGACTTGGCTAATACGCTGGGCCGACGCTCGATTTACATCGGGATGATGATGGTGTATGTTGCTGCGAACATTGCGCTAGCGTCACAGCATTCTTATATTGCTTGGGTGATTCTGAGAATGGTGCAGAGCTTCGGGGGTTCTGGTGAGAAAATAAAGTCACTCCTGCTTTTTAACTCTTTCCTTCATAGTGAGCCGAGGGCTAACGAGGTTAGCAACGATTGCGATTGCGTATGGCATTGTTGGAGATATTGCGAGTCCAGTCGAAAGAGGCTCATATATCGGGTTCGTGTTCTGCGGGTATATTTCCAACTCCGTTATAGAGGACCTGGGCTTGGTGGAGCTATAACACAACACCTCGGCTGGCGCAGCATCTTCTGGTTCCTCGCCATTCTATCCGGCTTTTGCTTCACCCTCCTTCTCCTCCTCTTCCCCGAAACATCTCGCAACATCGTAGGTAATGGAAATGTAGCCACCAGTGGCTTAAACCGAACGTTACTATCCTTCCTTTCGTCTAACAAATCTCCCTCTGTCAACAACGCAACATTATCTAAACGGGAAAGGAAGATCAGCCTCCCAAATCCACTGACCAGCTTTTACACGATTCTAAAAAAGGATGCGGCGTTGATAATGCTGACGCATGGAACACTCTACACCACTTACAGCTGCATCCAAGCCTCTTTATCCCTGCTGTTTATCGAGATTTATCATTTTAGTGTGGTGCAGGCAGGTTCCATTTACTTGCCTTGCGGTGTTGGATTGTTTTGGCTTCTTATTTCACCGGTTTGCTTCCTTTCTCAGCAATTGAGAAGCCATACTTACTGCTCCTAGGCAAGGTGCTCAACAGACTATAAATTGACAGCCAAACTTCTCAATATTGTGATCGACGAGCTAAGGGGAGACGACCTCTCCAAATTTCCAATCGAGAAAGCGAGACTGAGGAATGTGTGGTTCTTTGTGATATTATGTGCGATTTGCATAGCGGGGTATGGTTAGTCTGTCAACAAGAAAATGGTACGCTTCCCTCTCTTCTGTCTCTTTAACCTTGGATAGGTAAGCCCTAACCACTCAACCCACCTTTAGAATATAGCTATACCTTTGACACTCCAATTTATCATCGGGGTCACTACTACCTGGATCTTCAATGTACGTTGTATTCATTCCTTCCCGGCCCCTTCAAGAGTGTCACTATTTCACTGATTCATTCTGATGGCTTGTTTGGCAGGCGCTTCAAACGCTACTAGTTAATCTCTATCCCGACTCTCCTGCTACGGCTCAAGCTGGCTTGAACCTTGTCCGGTGTGCCATGTCAGCTTGTGGACTGGCTGCTCTGCAAATAATTATTAACAGCGTAGGCCCGGGTTGGTGCTTCACACTTTTTGCGGGGTGTTGTTTGGGGACGATTCCGCTGCTCTGGATGGAAAGTGAATGGGGTATGGAGTGGAGATTAGTAAAGGGCAGTGTTATTAGGGGGGAGAAGAGCTATTGTTACCACCTTAAGAGGTTATTATTGAATTTGTTGTGGAGATTTATAGGCAAGGCAATATGAAGAGATTTTGTAAATAATGTTTCTATATACTAATAGTTTCTAATAAAAATAATATTCAATCTTTAGATCTTTCAGTTTAGCAGCATGTCCAGAAGCTGACGTGGGCGCCCAATGGTAATATAACCGTGGAGAAAGTGCTACAACACGAACAAACCCGCGGGGGTAGACATCCGATGGCTTTTCGAAAGTCTTGGCAAATATAAGATATGCAACAAATCTTTTGATTGTATTTCCACAATTGTGATGTGGCAAAGGTGCTCTTGCTCCGATTCTTCCAATGGCTAGTGAGATTAACTCCTCGTGTGCAGAGAAGGGAGAACATCGGCGGATGTACACCCCCCACCCCCTCCCAATTTCGCACCCCAATTCTTCCTTCCAATACGAAGAAAAGGAGGCAGAGTATCACAACTCAACTCAGGGAGGCATAATAGAACGCGTTCACATATTACTCCGGAGATCGAAATAAATAACAATAAACACCAACACCAGCAATGGACTCAAACACGACAAAAGAAAGCACAGCAATAAAACGACAGACACTATCATATATCAGAACTCAAGGCCCCCTCGTCCTCCTCATCCAAAAACCCCATTCCACTATCATACCTCCGTCTCTTCTTCCCGTTCCCACTTCTCCTCGCAAGCCCTGCATCCATCATCATAGGAGCCTCCCTCACAACTCCCAGACCCACTGGCTCAATCGATCCACCCTCAATTGAACTGCCTGTCCTCCCCTCATTTTCCTCATTTCCCTCACGACGCGGCCCCAAAACAGAGATCTCATCACCAAGATCTCCATTTCCGTCTCGCATCACCGCGCGGATAACATGATCCCTCATATTCTGCAGCTTGAACTCTCCACGAGATTTCTCGCCTTCGCTCTGAGCAACGAGTTCCTTGTTCTCTTTTCGAAGATTGAAGATGACGCCATGAGCATTCTTTAGTGAGGTGTTTACGCGCGCGACTTCTTCGCGGAGCTCGGAGACGCGGGCATCGCGAAGCGCGAGTGCATTGCCGTGAGCTTTCTCTCGCTCTGAGGCGGAGAGTTGAAGTTGGGAGATTGTAGAAGTGCATGAAGAGTGAGTGGTGGTGAGAGAGGCAAGTTGTGCCTCAAGTTCGGAAGCGAAGCGAAGTGCGGAAGCGAGACGCTCCTCAAGTTCGGCAAGGAGGAGCGCCTTGTTTTCGTTATCGATTTTCAATGCATTATGCTCTTCCTGAACAGAGGCTACTAGTTGGTTCAACGACGTTGCTGATTCGCGACCTTCACCCTCAATCCGCTCAATAAGTTTCTCAAGTCCAGAGACTTCGGTCCGATATCCTTCAAGCGCCTCCTTCAACCTCTCATTGCTGGTTTCGTTTTCCTGGATCTCGCTGCGTAGATCAGCGCAAATTGAGTTGGCAAGTGAAAGCTCTTTACGCATATCCTCCATGACAGTTACTCTCGTGTCAATCTGCTGTCTCAATAGCACTTCTTGCTCGTGATATTGATCAATAGTGTCATCCCTCTCTTTGACTTTCTGGACCAACACCTTGATGCGGGATACAAGCATGTCGAGCAATTTATCATTCTCAAACCCTTCAGGATTTTCGCCAGGTGTGAGGTACTCGAGGTCCAGTCTTGCTTGCCGGAATTGAGAGGCGATGGTCTCCAAGGTTTGTTCTGGACCTGAGGAAGAAGGAAAGCCGAGATTTGTAATCTCATTAGTGAGGGCTGAGAATGCGGTTGAGTGTTCGAGAGCGTGTGACTGGGACAGCGCGAGCTGAGTGAGCACGGAGTCGAGTGCGGAGTCGAGGCTGGTGTGGTCGTGGGACCCATCTGTGGGTATGAAGTCTGAGAGTTTTTGAGCGAGACGCGTTTCGTTGTCGTCGTTGAATGCAATAGCGGCAGTGAGTTTCGATATTTCCAATTGTAGAGACTGGAGTTGTGATTTGAGAGCTCCATTCTCGGGGTTTGGGACAGGTGGTGAGGTTGGGATACCAGCATTCATAGAGGAGACAGATTTGCATGGCGTATTGGGCATTGTTGATGGTGGAGAGGGGAACGAGGTGTTGAGTCGTGTTGGGGTAGTAATCACCTCGTCGTTCATCGTGAAATCCTCATCGTAATTCGTGATCATGTTATCGCCATCGTCGTTGAAATCAAACGGGTCCCGAGCTGCCACAGTCCAGTTTGGATCATCTTCTGTGTCACTCTCTCTTCTCTGCAGCTCTGTCTTCAGCTGCACAATCTCTTGTTCCAGCTCTTGGACCTTGGCACTCAATGTGGTGTTTGTGATAATAGAGCCGCCGGACGCTTCTTCAATTTGAGTTTCAAGGTCCCGTTGGCCTCGCAGGCTCTGGATCTCGATGTCTTTGGCCGCCAGTTCGCTTCGGAGTCTTTCGACTTGCCGTGCTTCAATCCGCTTTTCCCTCTCAATTTCGTTCATCTCTTCGCTCAATCTGTTCCTTCTGAGCCGTCTCTTCACTCTTTCATCTAGCACCTGTCGCAGAGCAACAAAATGAAATGGCCGAGATATCGGCGAGGTATCATAGTCGGCACGATTCCACAACGTCGCGGTTGTGGAGTGTCTACGTTTCGAGGTGGGAGTAGTCGAGATTGAGGTTCGTTGTATGAAAGGAGTGAGTCCTGAGGATGCAGACTCGGTATCGATGCTTTCTGGCCCAGGCTCGGAGAATCGAACGCGTTTCTTCGATCGTTTCGGTGTTGTTGGTGGTGTCGAAATTCCGTGTGGTCGTGAGACTTCAGGCTGTGGATTCGACCGTGCTTTAATGTTTGGTCCAATGCTGCTACGTGGTTTCCTGCGGGCTGCTATGGGTCGTTCGTCGTTGACGATTCTCTCGTAGAGGTCGTTTTCTGCCATGGTGGGGTAATTCTGCTTCGTGTATGAAGTCGATTGAGATTTCTTACGAGAGAAATTGGGTGATGTATGCGTTCAAGTATATTGGAAAGATATAAAAGAGATGAAAATCTTTCGGACGCGAAGTTGAGAGGAAATGGTTTCCTTACCGGGCCACAAGTCAGGCCAAATAAACATGGATGACACGCTGTTTACATACTTCCTAACAAGGTAACGCGGTTACGCGACCTCTACCGCGACCCGTGCTGGCAAGGATGTCGCAGACACCGTCGCCACCAGCACGTGGTTGGCGAGGAAGACACGACAACAAAGCGGCAGACGCGATTGAGTCACGGTGGAGCTGCCAATGTTCCACGGTTAGAGGGCCAGGATTCGAGGAAAGCCAGTGGTGTCATGGCGAACGATTTCTTTTCAACCCCTCACTGACTCAGCAACGTCTGATGAGACCAATCGCCCCACTTCACTTCACAACATCCCAGATACTCCAACATACTTGAAGGACGCAGAAAGCTGCTCATCATGGCACGGAACTTACGGAAACGGAAAGCCCCAGAAATGGAGAGAGAGAGAGATCTCCGCGTCATCTCCCAAACGCAAGACCAAGGCCACCATCAGGAAGGAAGAGAAACTAGATCCCCCACCACAGACCACCAACGGTTTCGATCCCTACAAAACGTACAAAGTCTATCGCCTCATTGAGCCAGGCCCCGTTCTACTTGTCACAACTGGAGTAACCAACCCATTCCTTTGACCCACGCACCGCGCTCCCTATTCCACTGGTCGGGAGAATGAGACATGCTCCCGGCTCTCTCCCGGCTCCCTTCCCTCCAAAGAAACAGGTTGCTAATTCGTTGAAGTCACTGGCCGACGGAACTCATAACATCATGACCATTGGTTTCCACATGGTAATACAGCACAAAGCCCCACCTCTAATTGGCATCTCGTTGGGGCCCTGGGACGCCTCATTCACAGCTTTGAAGGAGCAGCGACAATGCGTCCTGACCGTGCCCTCTGTAGAGATGGCTGAAGTTGTCGTTGACATCGGGAATTGCTCCAAGGATGATGAGGACCTGAAAGAGACCAGCAAATGGGATCGCTTTGGGCTGAATGCACTCCCTGCTGAGAAGGTCAAGGCCCCGCTGGTGGGCGGGGCGCATGTCATTGCTAATATCGAGTGTGTGGTTAAAGATACGAAAATGGTTGCAAGTTACGGAATGTGGGTTCTAAAACCGGTGAAGGCGTGGATCAATCCGAATATGAAACCGGGAGAGGGAGGGAAGATGTTCCATCATCGCGGGGATGGCACGTTTGTGGTTGATGGAGAGGTCTTGGATCTGAAGGATCGGATGGTCAAATGGCAGGAGTTCTAAGATTGATTAACTTCTTGGGCTGGTTCTGACGCCTCTCTAGCACGGAATATATGAGCCCTTAACGTAGGCGTTCCGTATTAAGTCAACTGGGTGCGGCTGATCAACCTACCCAGCGGCCTGTGATAGATGAGTGCAAGGGATATGTACAGCTACTGCCCATGTCGATTCACGTTATGTTACACGACAGCATTTGGCAGCACGGGAAGTATGTGCACCTGCATGCAGTCATCGAAAAGAGGCATCTCCCCAGGGCACAAAAACTCGTTCAAGGCACCTCATTCGACATCCCTTTACTTTTTTGTCGGCCACTTCCAAGTTCGGTTCCTGTCAGGGGTCAAAGCTGCCGAATGTTGCCTGGAACGTTGGGTAGTTCCTTCCGCTCCAAGCCACCAATAACTCGCACGCCTCATTCAAGGCTGGGTATTTCCCGCTCTGATTAATTTGGCGAACTTGAAGTTACTCACCCAGTGTTTCGATGCATCAATCAACTACTACTCTGTATACCTACACTTTCTCGGCTATCTTGAATCAATCCTCGAAGCATGCAAACTCTTGTTTTTACGACTTTGATACCAATATTTCTCTTCATCTGCAGCTCGGTCGCCACCACGTTCCAATCTTCCTGCACATTGCCTCCAAATGGCACGAATATTGTATATGGAGGCAACGTTCGAGGCACTTTTGATATATTATGGGGTTGTTTATCCACACTTCTCGTTTGCACCTGGACTGTCCAGCATCTACGTATTCCCCAGGCGACATCAAAACGCAAGAGTTTGAGAGGCTATTGGAGTCACTGGGGCGAAGAAATTGGGCTGCAGTTCAAGTGGATGATCTTGACCCTGTTGATTCCAGAACTGCTGGCAGGGAAGGAGCTTCAAGATTTGGTTATGGCTAGGGAGTCATGTCGTGCAATGAAATCCTTTGCAGACGAAGATGGTATTGAGTGGAGTATCACTCAAGCATATTACGCCAATCTTGGGGGATACGTTCTTGAGTTCCAAAACGGGGATCAGCGCGAGGAGCAACGGCAACAGAATTCATGTGAGAAAGCCGGCAACCTGGTGAATAATGACCCACACCAGAATGCTGCTACCCACATCTTTGCCTCCGCGGAACGAATATTCAGAACGCAGAACCAAAGAGCACGCGCACTTTCAAACGGTATCAAGACGCTCTTCGGAGGCCTTCCAAAGGAGAGCAAAGAAGATCCATCGACGGTACATCCACACAATAAGATAGCAGTCCGATTTCATCCCAACGCTGATCAGGTCCTGGCACTTCGTGCTCAGAACATTCTTCCAAATCTTCCCTTGGTTCCCACTTCCAGCATAAAGATAAGAGCAAAGGAGATCTCTTCGTAAAAACCACAGCTTTGGTGCAGGTCGTCTGGCTTGCAACTCAGTCGGCGATCCGCACGTCTCGACACCTACCAATCTCTCTCCTTGAGCTCGCCGTCCTCGCATATTCAACGAGCGCCTTCTTTACATACATCCTCTCTTTCCACAAGCCGCAAGGGATCAATGAGCCAACATATGTCTCAGTGCCGATCGTCCTCGACGTGTTGTTGCTAGAGAGAATTTTTGCTGCTACCAAGGAGTCTAGCGGCTACACAGGCACCCGAGTCTCGTCGCTATTCATTGGTGGTCCACCCAACATAAATATTCTAAAGTCCATACCGAATGACGCAGAGTATGCCATATTCCCCACCATCAACGGCTGGAAGTTCCCATTTTCGTACTATTTTGTGGGCTTGACATTTGCTGGTACTCTGTTTGCCATCATACACTGTCTTGCCTGGAATTTTCATTTCCCGTCATCAACAGATCGGCTGTTGTGGAGAGTCTCCTCGGTTTTGACGCTAGCCTGGACCCCTGTCTATGCCGTTAATTTTGTTCTTTGTGGGCATTTAAAGAAGCTTGTGCGTGGAGCACTCCAATTCGGGCAGAGTGTCGAGATTATTTTGCTGCTCGTGTATGTATTGGCAAGATGTTGTCTTTTAGTATTGGTGTTTCGGTGTTTATTTTTCCTGGAGACTGGGGCCTTTGTAGCTACTTTGGATGGAATGATACCCCACATCCAGTAATATGAAGAATCGCACTGAGAAGGAAATTCTGAAGATATATTTCAAATACAAGAGGAGCTCAGATACACAGAGGATCAGATGTCAACACCGCTTCCTGGTTAGAATGATATCTTGTCACAGCTGGTCTTGTAGGTGCCTTACTTCGATCTAAGATTCAGAAGTCCCGTTGAATGCAATCGTCTCATCCCCAGCCAAGAGTCTTAGTTCAGATTGGGGTTCAACATTTTTCTACTCTTCCTATCTCCGCCCCTTTCTTTCCCAATACGAACTGACCTATTCGGATTGGAGGGCGTCTTGTCGAGAATTGGCCACCTTCATTGGTGCCAGCGACAAGTCTCCGGCCATGACCGCCCTTCTCCGCCCTACAGTAAGCTGTTCACCGGATTTGCATGATTCGATTGGAGCAAGTATTCCCTTTTCCGGCGACCCTACCCAAGATCGCTTCTCTGCCAATAAGAGTAAACGCCGAAGTAAACCATGCGGCTGAGAGCCAATTGGTCTTGGGTACTCCTGTCACGCTTTGCTGCATTGCTGCCCAACTTGAACTCTCTCTCATGAAGCTTCTGTATTATAATCGTCGCTCGCGGCCTAACATTCCAAGTTTCCAAGGCAGTCCGAAAAGTGGCCCAGCACGACAGGCGACAGTCGAAGAGGCGCCGTGAGTAATTCTATACTATCATTGGCCACCACAGCTTCCAATGTCTTTCGGTTCTGATAAACTTTGGCCTACGCCAAGCGAATGTGACTTGTTAGCCCCTACCAATGCATCCGAACAACAAGGCCCCTTTCCCACACGAATCACATCACGTGATCTCCAATTTCGTCAAGAACAATTCGACCAATCGTTCCATTCAAATGGAACTTTGCTGGATTTCAATTCGTGGCTACCGGTTCGTGAAAGCAGCACCCCCAATAGCTTTATACCTTTCCCGGCTTCTCAGAGCGGCAGCTATATGGATTTTGATTTTGATCTCAACACAATTCTCTCAGTCTCCATGATTCCAGTGCCAAGCTTTGGGTGAGCAAGAGACTTTCTAAACGCAATATGGCTTTACTGACTTTATTATTGCATGGATATGAGTACCCCAGTTTCAGCATTGTCTGGTCGATTCTCCGACGACGAAATCGAAGAAACGACTCCAAAAGCCCCGCTGGCTCAAAAGGAAAGCATCCCTCCCAATCCGGCCCACGCCATCCACAGTGCGATCCAACTAGACCTCGCCCACAGTTGCCAAGACTGCCTTACCCAATTTGCAACGCAAACGGGGCTCTCAAATCATGCGGCTCAGACACAACACAGTCCATATCGCTGCACTTGCGGGAAAACGTTTTCGCGTCTCGATGTGCTCACTCGCCACCTGCAAGGCTACGAACAAGCCCCCAGATATGCATGCCCACATTGTAGCAAGTACCGCGGTAACAACGCTTTCCGCAGGATGGACCATCTCACTCAACACTTGCGAGGATATCACAACCATGAAGTGTCAACAGGATCAGACGACAGCGAAGACGGGACAACCGAGGCCCAAAGATCGGCAAGCACAAGGAAACTGCTACCTTGTCCTCACGAAGAATGTAAAGCCTCTTTCGGCAGTCGATCCGAGTTCACAAAGCATATGCGAGGCGTACATGACGAGAGCTTGTATCCATGTCCAGAGACCGGCTGTTTGCGAGTTGGTGGGAGAGGATTTTTCAGGAAGAAGGATTTGTTGAAGCATCAGGCGGATCATACCCCCAACTTAGTTGAGAGGATGAGTCAGAGTGAGCAACTCTGTTGAATTGTTTTCTTTTGGGGGGGGATCAGTCACTCAACAAAACGGAGTTGGGAACTATCGAGTTTATATCATTTATCTCATTAATTACAGTCGGGTCAAATCCGTATCCAGTCGAGGTTGGAGAATTGATATTCAATATTTTTCACCCAAGAATCTCCGCCATCCGCCATAATGCTCGGGAAATACAATCGCAATCATCAGCACCTTCCTCTCCCCTCGCCCCATTCCTCATAGGATGAGAGAAATCGAGACTTACCAATGTACCAAATCCCGTCACAGCATTCCCACCTGGGATTCACAGGATTAGCTAAAAGGACTTCTTGTTTCATATACTTTGTGGGCTTACCTTTTCACAGGCGGGAATCCCTTCGCCCCACAGCGAATACTACTCCCATTCGTGATATCCGTAAACACTTCCTACCCACCAGCATACAACCACGGATTTAAGAACCCTAATGGGCTTTTCCTAGCTGTGATCAATGCACTATTTACCTGTGCAATGACAGCCGCCTTGCTCTAATGCGGATTCTTGTTCGCAGCAGCGCGGAGACTTTTACAGTACTTGAAACCCCGGTACACCTATTTATAATGCTTGATTTTTTATCTCAACCCTAAAACTGGCTCACTGCCTTGAGCGCCGCCACACAATCCGACAAGTCCCTTGAGCCGGCTCTTGCAACGCCAATAAAACGGTCCCATTAGGCCTTATACTCTCCTGCCATGCTCTTAGGGAGCGCTAAGTTGGTCCCGATTACCATTGCACTTAATAATGGGGAGGAGGATGACCAATCGAGGAGGTGTGCAAGGAGTACTTTAAGTACACCTTGTCCTCGCCGGAAAGGGAGGGAAAATGTAAAACAACCCCCCGGAAGGGTGTCGATTGGGGGCCAGACTAACCTAAAGTAGAGGACCTAAAGTAGAGGAGTAACAAAAAATCTAGCTTTCCTTTAATTTTAATTTACTATATAAAAAATTGTTATAATTTAATTTTCTTTTATTATAGAGGGCCTAATTTTAAGCTAATAGGATATAAAGTTTATTATATAATAATTAGTTAAAAAGAAAATTTTAGGATAGTGTCACGTGTGTAGTCACGTGACCATGCTCCCGCCATTTAACCGTGATTAGGCCATTATTAAAACGCTAAATTCCTTTGATACGCCTAATCGACACCCGAGGGGGATCGTTTACATTTTCTCGAAAAGGAAGGCACGCCCTACGACCGCCGTCCTCGTTTAAGCGTGTATCACCTCCCGGCCTGACCTCTTCGCCAGAATAATTATCCCTCTTTAGCAATCCACATCATAGCATACTGCAACACATACCTGCCTATGTATCAACTCCAGGCAAGACAATGACAGAAAATGCGTCAGCGAGCGGCGAGGTGGGCGGTATTGCTCGCAAGTCTTCACCGGACGGCGGAATTGTCGCAACGACTCCATACTCTATGTTTCCTAGATCCCAAAAGCGGTGGATCACCCTCATTGTCGGAGTGGCGATGATGTTTTCGCCTCTTAGCGCCAACATCTACCTACCAAGTCTCCCGCTACTCCAACGAGATATGGACACCAGCCCGCAGCTGATCAATCTCACGGTTACCGCATATGTCATCCTCCAAGGGATCGCACCCGCATTCTTTGGAGAATTATCGGATAAAATTGGCCGCCGTCCAGTGTATATCATCTCTTTCGGAATCTACGTTGCTGCAAATACTGGACTCGCAATCCAGAACCGTTATGCTGCCTTGCTTCTTCTTCGGATGTTGCAGAGCCTGGGGGCCTCTGCTACCGTTGCTATCGGATATGGCGTTGTTGCGGACATAGCTACTCCTGCCGAAAGAGGGAGGGTTCTGGGGCCTGCCATGGTTGGTAAGTATATTCACTAAAGTCAACTACCGCCCATCCTGCAATTCTTTGAGCGAGCTTACTTAATCTCACCTGAAAATTCTCAAATGGTGGCACAGATTACCACTAATATGGAGTCTTTATAATAGCAACAAATCTCGGACCAATCTTGGGGCCGGTGATTGGAGGGCCGCTGGCAGATAAAGCGGGCTGGAGATGGGTCTTCTGGTTCCTCACCATCCTTGGAAGCGCTTTCCTCTTGATAGTTCTCCTCTTTCTTCCCGAATCCGGCAGATCGGTAGTAGGAAACGGTAGCATTCCAGCAAGAAGATGGAACAGGCACTGGATGTCCTACATATCTGGCCGACCAACCAGAAAGTGGGCAGGGGAAGAAGTGGAAGCCGTTGGATTAGAGAAAGATTCCCAGCCCCTGGCAAAGAGGGTAAAAGCCCTGCTCCCAAATCCGTGGAAGTCGCTTCGCCTTCTATTCCAGAAAGACACATTTCTAGTGCTTTCAATCAGTGCCATGTTCTACATGACATACTACATCGTCCAAGCTTCGATACCCGAGCTATTGGAACGGATCTACGGCTTTGATGAAACCACCGTTGGACTTTGCTATTTTGCCATTGGCTTCGGAGTCGTGATTGGCGGTTATGTTAATGGTATGACCCACATTTATCCAGTTTGTTACAACCTTTGATACTTTGGAAGGCAAATGTATGGATTTTAACTACAAAGCTACGGCCAAAATCATTGGCTTCAAAATTGACAAAGTTGCTGGAGACAACCTACGAAAATTCCCAATTGAACGAGCGAGGAGCAGATTTGTTATTATCTATGTGTTGCTTCATACAGCATGTCTGGCGGGTTATGGGTGGTCCTTACACCAGAAAATTGTATGAATGCTGGTCTAGGATGATACAGTTCAGTTAATGACGCTCCACTAGCATGTTGCTTGTCCTCTGGTACTCCAGTTCGGTCTCGGCTTCTTAGCTACTTGTATTGTCCAGGTACGATTTCATTACAGCTTTCAAGCATTCTCGAAAGTGAAGCAAGACCTTAACAAACGCCTAGACTTTCAACACTCTGCTGGTGGATATCCACCGAAATACTCCGAGCACCGCTGCAGCCTCGGGTAATATCGCCAGGTGTGCCCTCGCTGCAGGTGGTGTTGCTGTTATGCAGCCACTCCTCGATCGGCTGGGAGAAGGAGTCTTTTTCTCGGTTCTTGGATGCGTGTCAGGGGTTCTTGGGTGGGGCTTGATATTTACCATTCGGCAATACGGCATGGCTTGGAGAGGTACACGTGAGAACAAACAAATTTTGCCGGACGTGGAGCTCGAGGAATGCAAGAGAGGCTCGGGTACAGGTTTAGATGATGGCCAAGTGCATGAGATACAAAGTTGTGAAAATAAGCCATTGGAGGTTTGCATAAAGACGAATTAATAAAAAAAAAAAAACTTTTTTTTACAGCATATAGCTGCTTAAATATTTTTGAAGAGTAATAGAGTAATATTTATAATTACTTCATGAAGCTAGGCTTTGGGCGAGTTTTTGTGACGGCGTGAAGCTATAGGCTTCTCAGAGAAATCACGAGCAATAAAGCGTGAGCATAAGAGATTGTCCTTAAGATCTAAAGCCAAGGAGAGAGAAGGAAGATGAAAGTAGAAATAGAAGATATATACACAATCCAATGGTCACGTGACATTTACTGAGCCTGGTCTGGAAGGATTTTCACACGCAAGTGGCATAGAATTTAGAAACGTGAGCCTTTAATAGTACCCACTGGACGAGTGATCGGTGAAGTAATTATAAGAATAGTAAAATATGACATCCAAGAACCATCCAACGCCGGAATCCACTGTTTGTCAGGATGAACTCCGACTATTAGAGAACGCCAATCTCAAAATGCTTGCAATGTCCTATCCAATCGTACATGTACATTCTAGTTCCGCATCATTCATATAGATTGTCATCAGGTAATCTCAATAACAGCATGAAACTTCATCCCATTCCTCACCACCGCTACCTCTCCCTCTCTGGCAAACGCGATATCGCCAGCTGCTGTCAACACACCCAGGACACCAGTATTCCCATTCACGACTTCGTGAGGGACGTAAAAATGGCGTATATACTCCTTCCCCGAATAAGAAACTAGATCCACGCTCGACAGCCAAGAATCTTTATCAATAAAAGCAAGACGCGACCTGATGACGCCGATAAAGTATTTGACCTTCTCCCCCAAGGGAGAGTAATCGGTATTGGGCTGCAAACCATCTGAAGAGGCTGGCGATGAGGAGTAATCGAAAACAAGAAGCTTAGCGGTTGCTTTGTTCCCGTAGTGTTTGCGGAAATCGACAATGAGATGCCGGCTTTTGGCTTCGAAAAAGGCATTCTGGATCTCGATCTCATCTGATTTGAGCGTTTCGTCGTAGGAGAAAGGAAAGGACGGTGGGCTGGTTGCTGTAGGAAATGCGGACCAACTGTGCCTCTCGATTCTGTTGTCGATGATAAGTAGCAGTTCGGATTCGGGACCTGAAGTCGAGAGCCATTTCCACACAGTTCGTTCGCTAGGGACGAATTCGGTTGACCAAACTACATCGCCAGTACGTGTCGACCACACGGCCGCTGAGCTAGCAGCAGAAACTAACAAGTGCTGCCCTTCCTGGCTAAACACTAGTTGCTTGATAGACTGCTTCGGGGAGGTGGCCAGGATTTGGGACCGAGTACTCCAGCAACCTTTGGTCGACCTTTCGAGTTCCCAGACTTGAACTGTTCCACCTGCATCTGCGGATGCCACAACATTGTTCTTGCAGGAAGCTATTGTGGTGATAAACACATCTTTAGGGTGCGAGTATAGAAGGGCTGTCTCTTTTCCTGTCATGGAGTCATAGACGGCGACGCAGCCATTGCTCTTTCCAGCAAAGAGTACAGGCAAATTAGGGTGAGCTGCCAGGGCTGTAATGTTCAAGATCTCGTTGAAATAGTCGAGCCCGACAGTGATTGCAGGTGTTGCAGCTGCATCGCTAACACTCACATCTTCCTCCACAGTCTTGCGTACGAGGACGGGGGGTTCCCATACCTTGGACCGCGAATCTCGAATGTCGACTAACCGCAGGCCATCTCCACTGAACGCAAGGCCCTTTACCTCGAAGTCAAACGACTTGATCCGATAGAGCAGCGTTAGTGTTTCGAAATCCCAGATTCTGGAAATTGTCAGTTGCAGGAAAAGACTGAAAAAGTTGAATCTGGCTATGTGTTAGGCAGACTGCTGTATCTCCAGGGATCGAAAAATATGTTATATATTCTCGATATAAATAGACGCAGCAGCTGACTAGTCATGCAGTCTTCAACCGCGAGAATGACGGGGAACGAAATTTGCGTACTGTACCGTCCCACAAGAATCACCTGCAGCCAGTGTACGGCCATCAGGTGAAGATGCAAGAGACAATGCATTTGCTTCAACAACAGTAACCAATTCCCTAGACCAAGGTTCGAAGATAGCCAAGTCTCCATCTTGATAGCCAACGGCGAGTAGGTTCACATCAGGGTTTGGATTGAAGTGAACTGTGCCAACGCATAAACCAACTGTCTCGCTTCCGTCGTCAGCAGGCCGTGAACAGCATCCGATGAAGTCCTGATTGCTGAGATCCCATAAACAAACATACTGACTACGGTATCCAAGTGCAAGGATTTCAAGGTTGTTAGAGAAGGCAGCGGCTAAAGGTGCCCTCTGACGAGCATTGGAATTAACATGATCGGGTTCTCGGTACCGGTAAAAGTGATCACTTTTGACTGCCCCATCCAGAAGGGCCCAGAAGGTAACGTGGGAAGCCTTTGAAACACCAGCCACATGCTTGGTATCGAACGCGACAGCTATGCAAGGTGACGCAAGACACTGAGACCAGACCTGCGACCCAGTTCTGTCCCATAGCTTGATCATCTTCCAGCCTGCCGACACAAAGCGCTTGCAAGAATTATCGAATTTCAAGATCTTGACAGGCTCCACATGCTGGAATGTTCGCTCCGCTTGGAAAGTTGTTTGGTTATACAATGTGATGTTTCCTGATCGCATTCCAATGGCGAAGACGTTTTCTCCGCAAGCGAGTGCAGTGGCTCTGCTTGTATCAAAATCAATACACGAGATGCAGTCCTCCCAGTTGATATTCGTAATACCGGTCAAAACCAAGCCGTCCGGCGACTTTGCTGAGTATCTGTAAATTGCCGAATCCGTTGGGCAAAGGGGCGGAATTAAGAAGTAGATGGATGTTGGGTCGCTGAGCATGGCGGCTCCAAATTTGGCCACAAGTCTGATAAGATCTGTCGCCCACTCCTCAACCGTCCGGACTTGAGAGCCTAGTGGTGATAAATATTTTGCCCGCCTTTCAAGATAAGCTTTGAGGTTTTTCGCTGTTCGAGTAAGGTAGTATAAACTACCTTTCCGCAAGATATGCTCGATCCATGTCAGAACATTTGTTCTCAAAAAGCGCTCTAGTAACATGAGGATATCGTCTTTCTCAGAGTGTGCCGCAAAAATGTGTTCGGAGAATGAGGTGCCTGTTTCCGTGAGCCTTTCAAATTCCATTTAAACTTGGGTAACTTAGGTTCCTTACAGGCATAGTCGCAGAGAGCTGAATGTTTAGCAGTTTGAGTGCTCAATTGTCTTCGATTCCTAGGGGGCTTCATTTCATCGCTGCAAAGGAATTTCAAACATGCAGTCGCTGCTTTTTCGTGTTCAACTCCCAGATCGATCCAAAATTCTGAATGTTGATTTCTAAAAAGATAGTCTCTTGCGGTTTGGTGAACCATTTGAACCGATTTGTTCTTGTCCACAAATACCAGTTGACCACATAGACCTTCAATTGACTTCTCAATGCTTCGCACATTCGCTCCAATATCAAGGTGCAGGGCTTGTTCGAACTCCGGCGTTTTTAGTGGCCGCGTGCATACAACGGACCATCGGAGAATAGCCTTTGCGATATCCTTTTCGCGCATGGTTTTTGACATGAGCTCAACAGTTCTGTCATAGAATTCAGTCATCTCTTCGGGCATTTCCTCCAGAACGGTTTCGATGGTCGTCTCATCATAAATATGCTCGAGAACTTGAAGGACGAGTCGTACCCATAGAAAGCAGCCGCCAGATTTAGACAGAATTCTCTTTGCTAGCTCTTGTCGCTCAGTGCTGCTGTCTACTGGCAAGTCGTCAATTTTTGATTCTAGGTAGAGCTCAATGTCTTGAGAGATATCCTGAGGCGATATTTCTGCCGCAATTACATCGTGGCCCAATCGGGCGAATTGCTTCTCTATATCTGGTTGGATCCTGCTGGTGAGGAAAATGCGCAACGGAAAAGCTGACTCCAGTTTGGTCAAGAATGGAAAGAGCGCAGGGTAATTTATGCACTCGTCCAAGGCATCAATGACCCAGTACTGTGGTCTATAAATTTCAGCCTTCAAGATGCCGTTAGCATATAACTTCCGCCAAATTGCTCGCTCATCATCTTTGTCAAGTTGGACTCCATCATCCACCAACTCAAGGAGTTTCTGTCTGACGACTGCGTTCGAGACGGCCATTTGATAAGCCAAAGACCGAAGCAGCCCATTAAGCTTTTGGTAAGACTTATTGCCGTGATGAAAAAAATAATAAGAGCAGTCAAGCCCAAGCTGTTGCAGGTGTGTAATCACGTGGCCGGCCAGAACAGATTTTCCGTTGGCAGGCTTTGCGCTGATCCAATAATACCGAGAATTGTGGTCGGCTTTGCCGCTGAGAGGGTCTGGGAAAGCATCACGCCACTCCTCGAAGTCTTCTTTGACATCAATCCACTCACAAGTTCCCTTGACCGCAATGTCCAAATCGTCATCTGGTTTCTCGTATATGTCGAGATATGCCTGAACTACTTTCATTTGTGCCCTGAAAATTTCGCTTTTGGACGCATGATCGACTCTGGAAAGTTCATCGATGGCAGTCGCAAGTGCATTTTTCACTGTAATGTAGTTGGGATCTAGTGGACTTTCATACTTGCAAACATCCCTGTGGTTTGCGTTCAGGTATTGCACTTGCTCATGTTTGTAGCCCAAAACCGCAGAGTCCCGCTCGACAATCATGGCCGATGAAACCCCGAGATTCGTTTTTGTCGTTTCGTAGAATGAATATAGCATAAGCTCGTCAGCAAAATTCCGAAATTCATCGTTGACCGTTTGCGTGGAGATGGAATTCTTCTCAAGATCGGTGATATATTGCCTGCCAGACAGAGCCCCTGACGCTCTCAGGATGTTGTTGAGAAGTTGTGCCGAGTCAGATCCGCGGTGGGGTGTTGCTAAGAAAAATATGCAACGAATCCGTTGCGCAAAGTCCTGATTCGCAAGGTCTTGGCGGGCAAGAATATAAGCCTTCTTGATCACCAGGCCTCCCATCGAGTGACCAATTAACACAATAGGATTCCGTCCGCCAGATCGGATATGGGGCGAAATCTTCATTTCGGCCAGTAAAGTCCTCCCAAAGTCGTGCACGTTCAAGAAACTGTCCTTGGTATCCCCCCAATCCGCATTGTATCCGAAGGTGTGGATGCTGGCGTTCCTGAAAGCTGGTTCGAGAGGCAGCCAATTCTTGGGCCAGAATTGTTTCGGATCAGTGCCCTTCCTCCACGTCTTGATGGAGCCACCTCGTAGGCCATGGACAAAAATGAAGTCCACCAAAGGCTCTGCCGCCAAATGCAACAAGTGTAGCCCCAGGGGGCCTCGTACATCATCGATAGGATCGCTTGTGCGACGTCGTAAGCCCCAAATGTGGAATCTTCGTTCGAGGATGGCAACATCGTTCACATCTCCGAATCCAGAGGCGTGTGTGATGGCCGTGTCGGATCTGGAGTGGACTTTCGAATCGCGCTGTTAAACAAGGCGCCATCAGTCTTCCAGCAGCTTTGCGCAGGGGCACGACCATCGCGGGATCTTTTCACTTACCGACATAGCGCTAGATTGTCACAGGATACATTTGATGATATGGGCATCGCCATGAATCAGCAGCAGTTGACCACAACGTCGATCCTGGAGATGTTTGCGGGGGGAGGATCAAGCACAAATGCGGCTCATTCTCTCAGGTTGCAACTTCGCGGATCCGGACCCTAGTCCAGAAAGAGTTTTTGGTGGTAAGGGGCCAGCGCACCTTTAACCCTAGGTAAAGCAGGCGAAAGGGAAGTTTGCCAACCAGCAGGCTGGCCTCGAAGCAGATAAGTAGATGAGACGGCGCAGGGGCACGCACCTCGGGTAAATCGTAATACCAAAATCCAGGTCGAAAATCCACGTTTTCTACAGTAAGTCCCATAAAAATGACAAGCAAACTTTTACAATTTTATAGAGGATAATCCTATAGAGTGTGCATTATTCGATATTATTTTTTAAGGGGAACCTAAGTGTGCTGGCTATCAAAGAAATCAATCGAGGGTTGATTTTCAGGCTTGATTCGCAGTAAATTTGGCAGGTGTGTATGTGGAAGTGCATGTTGGTGGCGAACGGCAACGGGAACGGGAACACTAACTGAATCAGGCTACCTCCAGGGTAGAAGCGTTCACTAGCCAACCACCCGGACCACTCAACCGACCAAATTTTTAGTTCACCACAATAGTAGCATATAAACAAGCTTTTGAGTAGATACCCGTAATCAACGAGCTTGGAAGACGAATCCTACACGCTTTGGGAATTTTCTAAGCCCTTTAAAACATCCTCAAATTTTAGTGTTCTAACAGGGGTAAAAGTGGGCGGTTGACTAGTCTGGGTGGTTGGCCAGCGAGGCCAGTGATTCAGTGAATAATATCCCTAATCGTGCGTCAAGACTTGTACTACCATCGTAAAGCCCCTGCGTCCCTGCGGGTTTAGTGCATAGCAGCGATACGGTCACCTTCCCCACCCCCCTAACAAGAAAAATCTGAAAGTTTTAATAACTTCGCAACGTAATACAAGATCTTAAAAATGGGTTTATATGGAGGTACGCCCGATAATTGCGCAATTTTTGGCTTCTTTCAATTTTTCAATTTTGTGAAATTGTGGAAGTTATTACCAAAATGACGGTATCGCTGAAACGCACCAAACCCGCAGGGACGCAGGGGCTTTGGTGCAAGTCCTGACGCATGATTACTTCTACTGCACAGCTGCGTACAAGCGCTAATTGGTTCAGACCGCGACGCAATTGGCAGAACTTTTAGCCATTAACTAGTGCTCCCGCACCGGAGCAGCCTCGGATCTAAATCGGTTGGTGTCAGAGCCTGTCTAACTGACGTGGCAATATGGTACAAACAACAGGGCGCGAGCGGTGCGGGCGTGGGAGATGTGGAGATGCCGACTCCCCAAGACTGTGCGCTTCTTCCCAGGATGATTCTGCTCTGTTGTATTCTTTACCCTCAGTTGAGACATAGGGCCAGTCCTCTATAGTTGAACATCCGCTTTCTTGTGTATATTTTGACAGCTTTGCGATGGTCTATATTCCACCCGATTTTGAGGCTCCGATAGTGCCTGAATTAGACGAGGCTGAGCGGGAGTTGGATGCTACAATTTTAGCTGGTGAGCACATTCCCAAAAAGCAGCAGATAAAGATGCGGTGGCTGACACCCTCAAAGCTCTTCCCGAAGGCTGCAAGATTGGATCAATTGTCGTACATGGGGCAAGTCACTGGGCACTGAGCCACCGAATTGACACCACCCTCCCCGATGGAACTGAGAAGCCTTATTTTCTGAAGGTGGGGTATAAACAGCCACTAGGTGGTGGACATTTGCTAAGTCGCTATAATTTACGTAGGTCTTGAGTGGACAGCTTGGGAAGGAGATGGCGAAAGGGGAATATGAAGGTGACAAAGCCATGCACGCGGTCATCCCGAACAACGTTCCTAAACCTCTCGCACATGGCACTTACACCAAAGACCCAAACCGGCATTTCTACCTCTGCGAGTTTCACGAAATGGATGACGAGATGCCATCCGCTCAGCAATTCGTCGCCGTGGTCGCTGAATTGCACAAGAAATCTGTTTCTCCAACTGGAAAATTCGGTTTCAGTTGTACAACTCACGCCGGAAATCACCCTTTACAAAATGAATGGTGTGATGTCTGGGAAGAATTTTTCACCAGACAGTTGCGCGAGGAGGTTGAATGGGAGAGAAGTGTCCAGGGCCAGGACAGTGAGATGGACGAGTTGCTGGAAGCAATGTTCAGCAAAGTCATTCCAAGGCTGCTTAGGCCGTTGCAGACTGGTGGCCGGTCGATCAAGCCCAGTTTGTGCCACGGGGACCTTTGGCACGGCAATGTTGGCGTCGATATGGGAACAGATGAGCCTATTCTGTATGACCCATGCGCAACATATGCCCATAATGAGTGTCAGTCTTTTTCTCACCAAGAATATGTTGCGATCTTAACTGAAATTTCCGGGTCTAGATGATATGACTTCGTGGCGGTCAGCACGTTATAGGACAAATCGACATCACCAGACTGCTTATCACAAATTCATCGAGATCTCCGAGCCTATCGAGGATCGAGATGACCGAAATGCACTCTATGCCTTGTATGTCATAAGACTTCAGGTTCAATCGCTTGAGCCTCGTACTGGCTACTGACTTGAATAGGCGAAACAATATCACGGTTTCAGCGCAATGGCATGCCAATAAGAGCACTAGGAAGCTGTATGTGTCCTTCGACAAGGGGACGACAACCTACTGATTCATTCCTAGGGCTATCGAAGAGATGCGCCGATTAGTCGCAAAATATCCCGATGGAATCGAAGGCTTTAAGGAATGAATATGGCTCCATAGTCACGCGGCACGGTCATGTGATCTCCGAACGTCCATACGTCCGAAGTGCATATATTACCCCGCTCTGTTCTTAGAAATCAAACAACCTTCACCCTCTAATTTCACGTCTCACTCGTACTCTATAATCCCATGCTATAAAAGTTTATTCTCTTTATATTTTATACTTTATATAATATTTCTATTATAATATTTTTTTTTATAAATACTATTATATAATACTAGTAAGAAATCAACTAAAATTAGCCAAATATATAAAGGTTTCGTCGCGGTACCACAAAGATCCTTTGGAAAGCCAAAATAGCGTGAATAGCCTCAATCACCGCTGGCGCTCTGCCTCCATTGCCGTTGAGGTGCGGTGCTTTCTTCAACGCCTCTGTCCACCCATCTAGTAGGATGGGGCGGTGGCGGGACGCTGGCGAGCCGCAGGCGGGGCGCAGTCGGGACGATTTACGGAGTGGGGGCAGGAAAGCGGGGATTATTTTGGTGAGTTTCAGACGCACTCGGAAGGATCCGAACCCATGACGGACTGGTTGGGTGTTACTATCCCCCCCTAAACACTTATAGTGGGTCCGATATTCGCCACACTCTCATGTTTCACTCACGCCACGCCTCACCCCATTTTTAGCCAATCAGAGCACGTAGAAGCTTCTAGCTTACAGTACAACTTGCACTATAAGAGCGGCAGAAAGCCCAGTGAGTACTGGCTCACTCGAAGTAGAAAGCGGTAAAGACTCATTGCGTACCTTTAGTGGTGTGAATAGTGGCATGAGAGTGAGGCGAATGTTGGACCCACTATATGTGTTTAGGGGGGGGGATAGTAAAAGTTTATTCTGGTCTAGCGAGGCTGCTGATTCGCATAGGGAATCGGCAGTGCTGACAGTAAAGGGCTTCCGTGAGGCTTCTATGTCTTCCGTACTAGGCAGCCGTGCCAACAGAGGTCGTGATAGGCAGACCGGAACAGGCATTTGACAAGTGCATGAAGGCGTCAACGGCGCCAACGGCGCTGTAGATCAGCCGGATGGTCTAGTCTGCTTTGGGGAGGATCGCAAAGCATGGATAACGCTCACGGCCAATTTGTTTACTCTTGCTTACTGCGTACACAAAACCGAGTGTGTGGATAGCATGCAGGATTGCTCTGTGAGCTCTAAGCCTCACATCTCGTGATAATGTCATTTACCTAGTAGCAACACCTCGGTTTTGACTGAATCCACCTTCTTACTTCTCTACCAGGGCCAACCAACCATCACACCATCCCCCAGCCGCTTCTTCTTCACCGCCCCGCCCCACCCCCTTGAATCGAAGTTCAGTCGACGGTGAAGCAGGAAGCGCTCTCTTTTCCTTTGTCTGTCACTGCCATTCTGCAGCCTGCCATCGACGAAAACCCAAAAATCCCACCTCTCCAACACCCATCATAACTCCACTCATTTTGACATTCACAAGCATCCGGCAGAATGCCAGTCCTTCAACCTCCCTCCCGCCTCCTCCCTCGCCAGAGCAATACCTACTACTACAACTCTGTCGGCGGACCCGGCCCTCTCGCAGGTATCGTCATCGGGCTCGTGATTGTCATCGCCGTTGTCGGCTTCGGGGCCTGCGCGCTCAACAAGCAGCGAAAACGACGTCGAGAGATTGAGGCGCGTCTGGAGCGTCAGCGCAAGTGGTACGAGGCCGATATGCAGAGGGAGCGCGCGGCGGCGGCGAATATTGCGGACGAGAATGCGAGGCGCGAGGTTGATGGGTTGGGTGGTCGTGCGAGCGTTGGAGGAGCGGCGAGAGAGGACGATCTGCCGCCGCCGTATGAGAGACCGGCGGTGCCGTTAAGGACGCTGGATCCGGCGGTGATGAGGTAGAAGAGGGTTGTGAGAGGGAAGGCAAGGAAAAGGATGTGCAACTACGATTGCCACTTCGTTTGGCAGGAGTAGAAGGGGCATATCGTCGAGACGAGACTTCAGTAACAGCCGGTTCGATCAATTGGTCTGGTATTTGGGATAGAACTGCGGACTTAATACCAACGGGCATGGGGGGAGTTTGGGTTTGGTCAACTTTGGGAATGGAGTCCACATACAGGACGGAGCAGAGCATTGCTTCAATAACGGCATCTTCCAGCTTACAGACACGGGCTCCATAACGACGAATACATGACAAAGCTTTGCATTATGCTTTCCTTCCAAACCTGCGCTCGTAGCTGTGCTTGTTGGCGTGGTCATGTGCTTTATGCTCGCCTTCCGTGGTCAGGTCAGTCACGTTTGTATATGAGAGTTGCTGCACAAGCAATATATGGTGCGGAAGCGAAGCGTCTCCGGACAGTAATAGTCGGACTTGACCTCGCGCTAAAGGGGCCCTTCCCTTTATTTGTAAAGTGCGCGGGAGAATACTAAAATTGCCTAATACGGAAAGTTGCACTAATCCCTAATGCAACGCCTGAAACCTTCTACTAAAGGTTTATATAATAGAAAAATAATATATTAATCTTTTCCAAGAATTTTATAATAATTAAATCCAAGGAGAAATTGCGAGACATTTATAACTGCATAGCCCCTAGACTTCCCAAAGTATCGCTAAGCGAGTTAAACGGATTTTAATGCCTGCCGCCTTCGTACAAGTGCTGAAAAGTTACACGCCAACTGCACCTGAACCTCTTTCGATAACTTGTAAGTAGCGAGTGAAACCTATCGCTGTCCAGTTATAGTATAATTATAACGTAAAATGGGGCCTAGCCATGTGCGATTTGCAGATTATTTTCCCCCGGATAGTATTTATGCGGATAAACAGGGGTCTGCCTCGGCCTCTAAAAATATCACCGAAAAGTACTCGTACCCCCTGTAGGAACGAAATGCGGGGATAGATTGTTGCGCGTCTACCTCATCAAGCACTGATCCTAAAATTTCTCTTTCCTTCAATCAACCCACAAGACACGCTTGGTAGCATGGTTCAACAAGAGGCAGCTTGAGAAAGAACGTCAACCGCGCCGTCCTCATCGTAGAGCCTACAAAACAATGGAGTGCAGATTCTGCCAGAAGACCTTCTCCAAAGGAGAACATTTGCGGGTATTTGCCTCGAAACCCCACCTCCCGTCACCAAAACTTACTCATTGTTCAGAGACACGAACGTAGTCGTATGTAGTAGACCTGCGCAATGATTGATTGCACTCAATTGACTGTGAGAACACCATAGACACCGGGTGCAGGCCATACCGATGCAAAGAATGCCAGCGAACATTCTCGAGACAGGACTCACTGGCACGTCATGAAAAGCTACATTCGCGAAAAGATACACACAATTACCCTTCTCCACCTTCCCCGCCCTCCAGTCTCGTATCTCAATCAAGCCTCGCGACTTCGCTTTCTCCATTCGGAGGCACCATCCTCAGTAGCCTATCTCCAGCGACAAACGGGAATGAAATAGACATCCACACTTCGCATAGCGAACAAAATACACCTATTGAGAATATGTTTAATATTCCACAATCGGCAGACCTAGATTTCGATTTGATATGGCCTGACTCCGAGGATCTATTTGAGACGCTGATGGCCTCGGAAAATACAAATCAGTGGCAAATGCCCTTCGCCACATTACCGATAACATCCCATACGTTTCAAATGAACAATTCTGGTATGGAAACAGGAAATGCTTTCGGAGACAAAGTGAAAAGTCCTTCCATTGGAACTATTCCGACTGGAGAGAGTCGCAGAGCTGTGCACAACGTCAGCGAGATGGTCTCATCGCTGGTAAGTGGAAAGTCGCATTTCTCAACAGAGATCTCATAGCTGACTCCCTGCTCAGTCATCATCTGTCACAGCAGCAGTCGAAGCTACTTCTCTCACTTCCGTCTTTTTGGATGAGTGTTTACACATGTTTTTTGGTCGATTTATGCCCACATTCCCAGTTCTCCATCGAGGAACGTTCGTTTTTAGAGAATGTACACAGCCATTGTTGCTCAATGCGATGGCGATTGGTTCACTATATCTGGGCCCAAAGAATTCGATTGCAAAGGTGCCGACTCAGTCCTTCTCTGAACAACTCGGTATGCTAAACACCTATTTAGGGCGAGGCATTATGGAGACTTGCCCACGTAGCTGTGACCACTTCCGTAAGTCGGGCCTGGAGTTATGTAAATGGGCTGAAACTCACAGCTTCGTAGTGGGAAACTTTGATAACACATCGTGGCCCTTATGACTCGTGCCAGGGAGTCCAATTGGTAGTCACAGCACTTTTGGCGCAAGTGTATGGAGCTCTTTCAAAAGTAAGCACTTTAAAAAGCAAGCAAACCTCGACATCCTAACTAACAGCCAAATACAGAATCGCCATATTCGCACAGCAAGCCAGGCTTTCCATGCTCTCGGATTTTTCTGGGCTCGACAATGTGCCTTGTCCGATAGCGAGCCCTTCTCCTTCTCCGATCTACCCTCTATAGATGCGTCCGATGACGAAAAGAACATAGGTTGGAGACGTTGGGCCGCTAAGGAAATCCAACAGCGTTCCTTGCTTGGGCACTATTTGGTGGACGGCCTCATCTCACGGATGTCTGGAGAGCTGCCCTCAGTCCGCCACGCAGCGAACCAACTTGGGCTCCCTAGCACGGAGGTAGCATTTGAGGCTCGCAGTGCTGATGACTGGCTCACACAGATGCAATGTCAAGAATGTCCTCCACCACCGTACACGTTCCGCAAAATTATCAGCTCATTCTTCTCACCACAACCCCAAATCGACATGCTACCACAACTTTCGGCTTTTTCACTCCGAGTAATTCTAGAGGGATTGGGGTCGCTGGTTTCGGATTGTGATAACGACGCTGGTGCCTTGATAGGTGTTCCCACGAAATTCGAGCTTCGTCGAGCGCTCGCACAAATCCACGTCTTGATCTCAGACAGCACAAGCATGTCTGAACCCGAGAGGCTCGAGATATTTCTCCGGTGGCATACCCTTTGCCTCGATGCATGCAAAGATTCATCCCTGCTGTGCAGATCCGTGTGCTCACGCTACGGCGTCACGCAGCATGTCTGTCCTGGCCGAGAGTCCAAGAAGACGGAGTTTGATCTCATGAGCTGGGCAAACACCGAGGATGCTAGAAGGGCATTGCTTCATGCCACTGCTATTCAGCAAATTGTAGAAGGGTTGCCCAGGGGGAGAGCACATGTGATCCATATCCCGAACTCGTTGTTTGCTTCTGCGGCTGTATATTGTACCTTCTCTCTCGCGGGGCTCACGACTGTGAATCTGCCTTCGAGTGTGGACTGGCAGTCTGTTCTTTCTGCGGGATATGAATCCGTACCAGTAATTGGAACTTCGGATGGCGATGCGTCGGAGACGAGACGGTATATAAGGGGAGAGTTGGCGAGTTTGGTGGGCAGCGTGGGTGTTGCGGAGAACTTGCTGTATGAGCTGAACTCGATGCAGAAGCTCTTTCGGTGCCTTTCGAGTCAGTGGGGAATTGCTTATGATATGGAGGATGTCATTGACCAGTGGATGTCTCTCTGTCATTGAAAATAGATGATAATACTCCTCGTGCCTTCCCGAAGATTCTCGCAGTTTGCAAATTTGTCTAGAGAAGCTTGGTAGATTCTGAATCAGTGTGTAACTATTCTTGTAAATTTTAACGCCTGCCTCGAAATCAGCGTTTCCAAGCGGCGCAAAATTCTCGACTTTCCCACCCCAAGCCGACACCTAAATTCGGACATTCCACTGCTTCACTTTCAGCACTTCAAAAATAGAACCCATCCCTCAAACTAGATTCGCTCCACTCAAACACACCCAATTCTTTTCTCACATAGATTTGCATACCTTTGGTTCTTTGTGATATGTTTTATCATGTTCATTGAATCCTTTGAAGTGTTCTGGAGGGACAAACGACACCCATTCATCCAGCTCAATGAGATAATCACTCAACGAGAAAGTAAAACTACTTCCCAAAATAAAAACCTATCGATTTCTCCTCTTGGTTCGCTAGACATCTATTTACCTTTACGATACGGAAGAAAACCCCCTCCCTGGAGATTCTTAGTGCACAATTATGCCATAAGAGAACAGGGGGTGGCTAGCGCCCCACCGCTTAAGGATAGTGCCACTCCTGCCCCTCACCAGATGACGACCGCTGTCCCGCATCATACTCTTGTACTGTACACCCACGGTCTTGCCACATTGGGGGTCGCCGTCAACGATCGAAGATTGTTCAACCTACGAGGAAGCTACTGAGCATTGTGCCAGACAGGTCTGTCAATATTCAATAAGGGTCTTCGGCATTGTTAGGCCTACCCCGAAGTTACACAGGCCTTTTTCCTCTCTGTACACCCACAGTTCTCCCCGTGTGGTGATTTTTCCAGGGACTCACACCGTTCCCTTGTTTTCGGGACACTTCCAAGACTTGTGCCTGGAACTAAACTGCGTTCAGTAAGAGAATTAGGCTACTTGATCGACACAGGAAGTGGTTCCACACATTTCCCGATTCACAACCTCGCCACATCAACCACCTCCTACTCAAACATTCGAACATCAGGGTTCTATATCCCCCTTTCTGGGTCCCCACATTGAAAGGATGAAAGATAAAATTAAGAAAGAGTTGAAAATATGTGTAATTGGTGCGGGTACGTTCACTTGTCAATCTCGGCCTAAGCCCACCCCAAGCTTATGACGGTCCAGGGATGGGTGGCTTATGCTGCGCACTCGCCCTTGCACATTATGGATTCGAAAATATCGAGGTGTTTGAGACAGCATCCAACCTGGGGTTCGTCGGTGCCGGCATCCAGCTCGCACCAAATATGTCACGGATCCTTGACAGGCTCGGTGTTTGGAAGGATATTGAGAAAGAAGCTGTTTTGGTTAAAGAAACAAGCATAAGAGGCATATTTCATCTTCAAACATCATTAGTGACGAATCTGACTAATCTTTAGACGGAGCAAGTGACGGAGAGCTGGCCCACGTGGAGCTGGACTACGTCTACGAGACTTATGGATATCCTCATATGGTTGGCCACAGAGCTTCGTTGGCTAGTGGGTTATACAATGGTTGCAAAGCTCATAAAGTTATCAAATTTAACTTTTCAACAGGCTTGAAGGATGTAAAATCGTTTGCACCAAAAGTCACATTTACAGCTGTCCCACGACAAGGAGAACCGTATGAAGTTGAATGCGATATCTTACTGGCCGCAGACGGCATCAAGAGCAACACTCGGAGAGACATGCTCAAGCTACTCAACGTCTCAGCCGATATTCAAGATACAGACCAAGCAGCGTACCGCATCGTGCTGAATCGGACGCAATTGGAGCATGACCCTGAATTGCTCGAGCTCATCGACAGCGAGCGTGTAGTACGATGGATCGGAGAACGGCGGCACATCATTGCCTACCCGGTCTCAAACAACACCGTCTACAATCTTTCTACAACCCAACCGGACGTCAATTTTGCCGCCACACCGACAGAAACTTACACTACCAAAGCTTCGAAACCAGCCATGCTTAAAGTCTTTGCAGACTTCTGTCCGAAGGTGCAGCGAATGCTCAACCTGGTTCCAGAAGGTGAGGTTTGCGAATGGAAACTCCGTGTCCACGGCCCGTTGCCAACCTGGGTTCATGGGTCCGTGGCCCTAGTCGGGGATGCGTGTCATCCTACGCTTCCACATCTCGCTCAAGGTGCTGCACAGGCTATCGAGGATGCCGCCGTTCTTGCTATTGTCCTTGCTAAACTACCGGATTCCTCTCCCGAAACAATTAATAAAACGCTGAGAGTATATGAAAGTGTCAGAAAAGAGCGAGCGGAGATGCTGGTTGAGTGGGCCGCAGCTTCGGCAAGAGAACTGCATTTGGGGAAGGGAGCTGCGAAGGAGGAGAGGGATAGGCAGTTTGCAGAGCTGAAGGCTAAGGGTGGGAAAGCGAGGGTTCCTGATAAGTGGGCGGATGCGGACGTACAGAAGGTTGTTTATGGTGTCGACTGTATGAAAATTGCCGAGGAAAGGTTTGATGAGCTGTATAGGAGCATGTAGTTGTTAATTTTGGTGCTTTTGATAATCCCTCATGACTCACGCTCAAGCTGACAGGGGTTTCGCGCTTTACATTTACTACAGTCCTTCAACTGCAACAAATGGCCTATGATTTGCTTCAAACAGAAAGTTTGTTAAGGTTCTTGAATTGTATCTCCAAACACTCTAGTCCCCTCTAGTATCCTTCAATTATCTGGGGTTCTAATGGGGATACGACATCCCAGTCAAGGACAATAATTAAACTGGATCCGAATTTCAGCCGAGATTGACAGATGGGCAAGGGGTAATAGGCAGGGCTCAGCGTGGGGATGACGTCTCCCGTGCCCACAATTATTGTCTCTCCGTGTTTGGAAAGTTCTTTGTGGGATTAATTCAGAGAAACTGGAGTTTCCGGGGTGTAGCCACGAAGCCACCCGCTTTCCCGTCCATCCCCTGTTTGGACGCCTGGGGAGGTTTTGAGGTTGCAAGCTCTAGCGCCCTTCCTCAAATGCGAAGTATTATTAAACACCGCAAGCGCCCTCTTCTTCCCTTGGATACCTAAGTGATTCTTTGCTATCCATTTGTCAAATGGTTTGGTTTTTGTTTGACCCTGCTAAACTTTTTTTTTTCTTTTTTCCAACCTGCGAGACTTTGACCTCAAAGAAAAAAGCTTTTCTTTCCATTCGAAGCCTCAGTTATCTTTCATATAAAACTTGGCCTAAATTTACACTCGTATCATTCCGATTCCGAGCAAATGCCGAAGTTTCATCAGAGCTCGTTGGGCAAGAATGCCAAAGAAGCGGTACCCGAGGAAACGGAATATGTTGAGAACCTGGACACCATACCTACCCAAGCAACGGCCATGTCAAGACTCACAGCCGCCCATCGAGAGTATTTATTACAACGGCATGGCACCTTCGACTTAGATCCTATACCAGGCATGGGAGGTGCTGATCCATATAACTGGCAAAGCTGGATGGTGAAGCTTCCTTCCGTCACCCTCTTCCAAGTTCAACACTGACAGGATTTCCGTGTAGAAAATTACAAACCTAGTTCTGGTTGCTATCCACGCCTGCATGTCGACTTTCACAGCTGCTTCCATCATACCTGCGTATGAAAACATTGCCGTCGACCTCGGGGTCTCTTTGCAACGGACTACATATTTGACCTCGCTGCAAATTGCTATACTGGGTGTAGCACCCCTGATTTGGAAGCCTTTTTCCAACACCTATGGCCGTCGACCCCTATTTCTCATCTCGCTTGCCTGTAGCCTTGTCGGCAACATAGGATGTGCCAAAAGTCCAAACTATGCATCGATGGCTGTGTGCAGAGCCATAGTGGCATTCTTCATCAGTCCAGCTGCAGCGATTGGAAGTGCCGTGGTAACCGAAACGTTTTTCAAGAAAGAGAGAGCCAGATACATGGGTATTTGGACCTTGATGGTTACACTCGGTGTCCCAATTGCCCCATTCATCTTCGGGTTTGTTGCATACCACGTGGGATACCGATGGATCTACTGGATTCTCGCCATGGTCAGTATCCTTCTCATATAATCACTCCATGGCTCCGATCGCTGACAACGGAGAAGATCAACGGCGTCCAATTCATCCTTTACATTTTCTTTGGCCCGGAAACAAGGTATATTCGCAGTGGCGTCCAACATCAGGAATCGCCCTTCAAGCAAGAATATCTCACCTTCAAGCGTATCGATCCTAGACCGCTTACTATCAACGATTTTATCCACCCTCTCTCACTCTTCAGAAAACAATGTATTTATATCCCAGCCATCGCGTATGCAATGACCTTCCTATTCGGCAGCGTCCTCATCACCGTCGAGCTCCCCCAACTCTTCGGCCAGAAATTCGGCTTCAATGCCCAGCAACTCGGGCTGCAATTCCTTGGTATCATCATCGGATCGGTAATTGGAGAGCAGCTTGGTGGCAGCCTATCTGACTATTGGATGAATCGGAAAGCGAAGAGGACAGGCATGCACACGGAACCTGAATATCGACTTTGGTTGAGCTATGCAGGGTTCGTGTTGACGATTGTGGGTGTTGTCGTGTTTCTCGTTAGAACGCAACAGGCGGCGGAGGGAAGGTGGAATATCACGCCCGTGATTGGGATTGCGATTGCAGGTGTGGGAAACCAGATTGTGACGACGGTGCTGATTACTTATGCTGTGGATTGCCATCAAGAGGAGTCCGCGAGTATTGGGGTCTTTATCACGTTTGTAAGGCAGGTTTGGGGGTTTATTGGTCCTTTTTGGTAGGTGTTTGATGTGCTTTGGGAACTGATTGAGTTCTTGGCTGATAGGTTTTATAGGTTTCCAGATATGTTTACCAGTGTCGGAGTTGCTGCGAGTGCGGCGGTGGCAGCTGCTCTGATTGTCGGAGTCAGTATTCTGCCAACGATGTTACTTCAGTGGCGGGGCCAATTGTGGAGATGGGGATTGGTAGAATCCGATAGCGATGTGACTGATCGGAGTGTTTCAGCAAAGGTATAAACTTCGGAATCGAAGGGGGAGAAGGGTTATGAGCTTGAGCATTGAATTTTCTCGCCAATGTTAGTAGTTGACTAAAATTCTCAATCGGAGATGCTCTCCCCCAAAGGCAGCAAGAATTCATAGGAAGGTCAAGAAAAAGGCTGGGCGTATGTTATTGATTCATATCTATTTCCTTCTACAAACCATCCACACTTCACCGAACGAAAAAGTATCATATACATGGCCACTCAGACATAGAAGTTTTCAGCTCCCTAAAATCAGAAAATCGAAGAAAGTTTAAGATCGAAAGTACGACTAATTAAATATCGCTAGTCCACTGTGCCAATAACTAATAAGCAAAGCAGTCGGAGCAACCGGAAGTCGAATGGCCGCAAGAAGTGCACCAACCAGCATCGGGAACGCTAGCTCCTTCATGGGTCGCAGAACATTGGCAGCAGCACCACATATTGTAAGACTGCTGTGAGATTGTGTGGATTTTGGGAGGTTGAATAAGTGATTAGAAGGGTGCGGCGAGATGGATAGCTCTGGTTATACGCCAGTCAAGTGATTGAGTTGTTGACTTGGTCTATTTCTATAAACTTTGATCACTGGTTGTTTTGAGATTCTCTTTATAACTATCGGAATAAAAGAACTGCATGCGAGTAAAGGGATACAAAGAGCACAGGTCAAGAAATCAAAGGATGAAGATTTGGATTCCAAATTGTTTCTTTATGTGCGGAGACAAGGACACAATCAGCCGCCGGATTTGGAGATTTGAAATGAAGGGACAAAGAATCGGGAGGCAATTCAGCGTCCGTTGGACTCCGGTTTTCAATTATTTATCTCGAGTCCAATGTTCGATGACGTCGATTTTAACCACGTCTAAATGGCGGGGAAGGTTTGGCAACTGTGCGAGGAATCGATCATTAGTCTATAATGGAAGAAGCGCTGAAAGAACAGGCCGTGAGCCCCCTAGATCTAAGCAACACTTACGGTATTGAACGTCCCAATACTCCGAAGATCAATGAATTAGTGATAGGCTCCAAAGCCATTAACTGAAGGTATATTGGGGGCGGGAATTGGGGGGTACCCTCTTCAAGGCATCCAACCTCTGCCATTCAGTGCATTTGCAAATTCTGAAAGCAAATAGGCATCTTGGCTCGCACATACATTAAAATGGAGTCTTTTCATTCTGTTATTTTGATCAGGAATGAAGTATTCTATCATGTTGGAATGCTTCATGGATGTCGATGTCGCTTAAGCCCCTGAAACTGCGCCCCGAGCCCGCCTAGTCCTCCATATTCATCCTCACGTTGAAGATCCAGAGGACAAATAGGCAGAAGTGAACCATGTACCAGGTCAGACAATTTACCGGGTTAAACACACGTCACATAACAACAGGGAGATTTCTAGAACTATCTTAAAATCTAGAAGAGAAGTGTGAAACTCATAGACCCTTGGGAGCGAGGCTAAATACTCCTTAGCGCAATAATTAAGGGAAATACGTGCCTGAGGCTTAAGCGAATTTTCCCCTCACAACGTGCCAAGCCCACCACCCTGCCAACTGACTCATCAGCTGCGCCAATATGCTCCGAAATAAAGAGTTCGTAAATTCTCACTTATCACCATCATGGATTCAATACGCCATGCAAACAGCAAGACGATCTAACAGGCGATCGTTGCCTTGCATCTCATCATTCTGACCCTCAGCCCCCACGCAATGAGTTCAGCTCAAAGCTGTGTGCTTGTTCCCAGGTATGAGTGGTCAGCCACATCAACGAAATGGTGGGCCGCCACAGGCTCGGCCTTGCGCTGAAGCAATGAGACATGCCTGAAGACACCCTCCCCAAGCCCTTTTTGTACAGGGTATGTTCTAGGCATCATGTGTAACTCGCCACGCCCTCGCATATCAGGTGCACGACCCGCTGAAGAGCCTTCAGCCTTCCTTCCTCCTCTTCTCTTCTCCGCGCTCGCGCCATTTGCATTTTTCTGTTTATTTTGTTTGCATTTTTGTTTTCGCGATCGAGATGTCGCATCAGACAAAGTTTTATGGCTCCCAAGTTGGCAGCAAGGTCGTGATACCGCATTCCTACACTAACTCTCCCCTCGGGCTGCTCCGCCAAGATGTCGCTTCCGCGTTCGGGTTCTGGAAATTCCTCCCCTTCATCGTGTTCCCCTTCACACCCCAATCTTCAGGGCCGTTATGCGAGCTATACCCCTCCGCGTCGAACCTCTGGTCCATGTTCCTGCACTTCATCCTCTTTATAATGCAACTGCCCTTCATCCTCTCAGTCCCGTTCTGGATATTCTTCCCTGTTTGGTCGGTATTGGGAGGCGTGGTAGTCTTTGGGCTGATTAATCAGGGGATCTGTTATTTGTTGAATGGGAGTCAGATGAGGTATCCTTCGAACCCGAAGTTTGTGGAACAAAAAAAGGAGCATGAGCATGAGCAGTGGATTTTCCTGAATGGTGTTGCTGTTGGGTATGTGTCTGTCCCCCTTTTCCTCACCAAACCTGAAGCTGACACATTTATGCAGAAAACACTGGCTCCAAAGCAATGTCGATCGTCTGGCCCTCACGTTCGGGCGTCCCGTGATCGGAGTGCATAACAAAACGTATTCCCTCCTCTTTCTCCACGATCACGTGACCTTTACTAACAAGCTCTCCCAGAAACGGCATCCTCTTCGACGTCCTCCAATGCCTGATACAGCGAAACTTCAACTACGCAACCCAAGACATCCGCGACTGCTACAGCATCGTCAAAGAAACGCTTTACAAGCCTTCCCTCACAAAAGTAGTCTTCATCCTGCACAGCCAGGGGGGCATCGAAGGCGGGATGATCATCGACTGGCTGCTGCAAGAAGTGCCGCAAGACCTGCTCTCAAAGCTCGAAGTCTACACCTTCGGCAACGCAGCAAACCACTTCAACAACCCGCATCTCCACCTGCTCTCCCAACACGCATCGCTCATGCACCCCACCGTGCCCTCCACCACCCGTTCCCTCACCTCAGTGCACTACCACGACCCCCTGGACTCCCTTCCGGCCCCTAAAAATGGGGAGACGAATGGACATCCCCGAACCACGAGGACGGAATCCAGCTCCGGGAAAACGATCCGGTATATCGAGCACTACGCCCACACGTCAGATTTCGTCGCACGGTGGGGGGTCTTGCATTTCACGTGCAACTTCGATGTGACGGATCATCGAAGCCCGAGGTTTATGGGCCGCGTCTTCGAGCGTCCGGGCCAAGGCCACCAATTCAACCAGCACTACCTCGACAACATGTTCCCCTTAGAGCCCGTCCCACCCTCATCCTCTCCCCGCCTGCCAAAACAAAATTGGATCCTAAGATGGATTATGCGAATAAAAGAGATCTTGTTCCCTGGGAAAGTGGGAAAGGGTGGGGTTGGGGGAAGTGGGTTTTTGAGGGCCCAGCGGGAGGGGAATGCCTTCATGGAGTCGGCATTAGTGCTCGGGCATAACGACGAGCAAGCCGACGAGAGAGAAGGGGTAGAAATTAGTTATTTGGGAGCGCATGGGGAGCCGCTGGGCAAGAGGGAGAAGGAGGTGCTGGTTAGGGATATGAGTCCAATTTCGCTGCATACTATGAGCAAATTTGGACGGAAAGTGGAGGGGGAGTTTGAGAGGGCGAGGGGGCTGGGGTTTACGAATGGTACGAACGGTACGAATGGGAGGAGTAATTGGGAGGGGGAGAAGAATGGGGTTGAGGTTGAAGCTGGGGAAGTGATTGAGAGGACGGAGGAGGATGTGGGGTTTGGAGATGTGGAAGAGAAGAAGGACGAGGGGAAGATGGAGTTTAAGGTTAAGGAATTAAGTCGGCTGTGGCTGTATGTTAATGGAGGAAGCCCGAAGCTCGATGAAGTTGATGTCGGGATTGCGAGGATGGCTACCATTTAGCAGGGTTTGCATTTGAGCTCTTTGTAGAGTACATGCGATGATATGGGCTCACATAGTATCTATCCGCCTATTATGATACAGTGCTCGAAGCGCACACCGGACACCCGTCTCTGATTTTATCACGCAACAGCCTGGCATGCGTGACTTTCGCTCCAACACTGTGCGTCATTGCCCACTCTCCGTTCTCGTCTAATTCCACGTCTGGCGGAGTAACTGGTCTCGATTCATGCTGGTAGCTGAGTAAATGCGAGAGATGGAAGACATGGCCGCATGCAAAACCAACCAATGTCTCGGTCTCATATTCGGAGAATGGCTCGCGACAACCGACACAATGGCCAGGTTTGGGATCCTGTTTGGGCTTTTGAGCCACGAAATCTTTCGCAAGGTCCGAAGTACAAACGCCGTCGATGGTACTGGGAACATCTGAGGCCGCTACATCGACGTGATCTTCAGGTTTGTGTACAACATCAAACTTGACGCCTTTTCGTTGTCCGGAGCGGAGAGTATTCTGTGCTACTGCCACCTCACCTCTCAACACTTTTGCTACGCCCTTGCTGATGCTGTGTTGTAAATCATGTTCTTTAATCATGCGGCTAAGACCTTCTCTCAAGCCTTCAATCTCAAGGCCTTCTGGTATTCGTCTAACGAGCGTGATCGGGTTTATTGCCGTGCCAACCTCTTCGAGCAAGCCGCGTATGAAGCGGGGCTTGTCCATCGAATACTCGAGGAGGTCTTCCCAGAGGTCATCGTCATTTTGTTCTTTGGCAAAGGAGATGGCTTGGGAGACGTCCGCGAGTCGACCGATGATAAGGTAAAGAGCTCGTTTCGCCTGGCCAGTCTTGGAAAACAGGAAGACCAATTCTGGAATGAAGTCACGTTCCTCGCATTCTTGCGTTGCCTAGAATTGAGTCAGCATTACCCATGAGAACGGGCTTCCGATACACACCTTCTCGAAAGTATAGCGCGTAGACTTCGTGAGGAAGTCCATGAGCAATTCCCGGTCATAGGAGGCGAAAAGATGAACTGCTAAATCTGCAAATTCATCCACGAGAGTACGGCTTTCATCAATCAGCCGTTGGATATTCTCGCTGGCATGGCCCTCCGCACTCTCCCCTTTCCATAACGAGCTGAGATAAAAGAAGATGTACAGCGTCATATTCTTGTCCTCAAGCTGTTGCACCACTACTTCAGGACGGACAAGGCCATGTTGTGCTTCGTTGACAAGCAGTGCGATGGCTTCAGATGTTGCTTCCTTGAGCTCTTCAATCGGGGCAGACTGCTCTTGCTCTTTCGAAACACGAAGAAGGATCAGACCAGGGATATCATCAGCAACAGCATCAACAAGATGATACTCTTTGATCAACGTCATTGCAATATCCGCATCCTGGAGTTTGATGTAGCATTTCAATGCCTCTCGCGGCTTCCCAGCCGCCACATGAAGCTTGCCTAAGCTCTCCATAACGATACGCCAATCCCTGCCAACTAGCCCATCTTCGACGCTGTCTTCTCGCACGTCACGGTAGTTGAGCTGATTCTCAAGCACAGTAGTTACACTCTTGATGTTGAAGAGGTCCGGTGGCCATTGGTCGAGAAGTTCTCGCACTCTTGGTCGGTTTCGGCCGACATAAAAGCCCAGGATGGCTTCGTAAATCTCTGATTTCAAAGGAGGCCGCAGCTGTATTGTAGGGATGTAAGGTGTAATCTCGTCGTACTTGTTCGCAGCAACAAAGCTGTATACATGTTCTTCCCACTGTTGCGCTGTTCCCAGGACCTTGCCACAGACCTTGCCAGCTGCCGCCCAGTCATTGGCTTTGATGAGCTGCTGTATCCAGAGTTCTCCAACTCGACGTTTCTCTTTCTCCACCGCTGAGTAGATCAACCGGCTAGCAGAATCGACGGTTGATGCATCATCATAAAAGTCATCACTGCTCGCCTGCGCTCGATCTGGTGTCGAAGGACCAATTTCGGCGAGTTTTTCCGGTGAGGATGAGATCACTTCAGGGTGCTCATCAATCAATTCCCAAGCCTGTTGATTCTTCTGGTGTTCCAAGAGCCATGACAGGTGATCAGAAAGTTCTCTCTTGGTCGCCAGGATACAGTCGTAAGGACTATGAATGAAGATCTTAATGCCTGGTGCTGCGAGATGGGGATGAACGGCGGTGTTACGCTGGCCGATATAGCCTCGGGCACTGCTCGTCCCACTTTGCTTCGAGTCCGAATCCTTGCTGCCCTTGCTGTGTGTACTTGCGGCGGAGCTGCTTAAGAGTGCGGTGGCATTAATTGTAGCATTCCACATCCCGCTTCCCATCCCAGTCAGTGTCTCCAAGGTCCCACGCGGTGTTTGGGCAATCGGGGTAGCACGCGGAGCTAGCAAGATACCCAAATGGTAGTCGCTAGCTGACAGCCTTTCGAAGCGGCTCACAGTAAGAGTGTCAGTGTCAACTTCTTGAGATGTATTAAGATCAATGAGCCGGAGCTCTGGTGAGAGTGCGTTCTGCCGATGGCGGATTCCACCTCGTGGCTCGCTACTGGTTGATGTTGTGGAGGCTTTCGATTTGTGACCTTTCGGGCGTTCTTTCTCTTCATCTTCCTCTTCATCCGGTGTAATATAAGCAAGTACAAGAAGCAAAGTTGGGGTATATAACGACAATCCAGAAACAATGCAATCCATACGTAAACTAGATGTGTCAGTTCGACTCGTCAGATCAGCGGACTGCCTCACATTTTAATAATCTCAGGCCTCCCTACTGATCGCTCTCCAGCATTTTTGCCAATGCCAACTCCGCCAGGGTGCACATTGATAATCCAAATCGTGCCTCCCCATCCAACGAGGAGCTTCTCAATACGCATATTGCTCTTGGAGACCTGTTGTTTCAATTTTGACGTAGCTGGTGATGATGTCGAGCTCTCACGCGCCTTGTCGTCTTCGTCAGTCTCAAGACTCCTTTCATCGATCCATTCGACTCTGCCCTTCCAGACAGCAGCCATTTCTTCCCAGCCATCATCTTGAGGCCGGTCAACATGGCCTATCCTCTTCCAAGCAGACTCAGCGTCTGCGCTTTCCAGGTGCATGTTTGACCGCATGATCTTGAGGCCATGCTCGTTGATCCAGGAAACGTATTTACCAGATAAAGACCACTTGATGGTGCTTATCGCCCCTTCGCCTGAGTGAAGAATGGTATCCTTTCCTGTATTTGTTCCCAAACCCACTGCCCCCAACCACCCAGAAGCAGTCGCTGCTGCAGTCCCAGTCGTGGTTGATGTTGAAATCGAACCAGCCCTGCCGCCTACTGTGAGAATCAGATTCCCAGCCAAACCGCCAGATACGTATGCTCGGTCGTTTTTATAATCTGGCGACAATGCCACAGCCTGGACTGGCCTCGCAAAGTTGCGCACATTCACATCTTTGATATCCACCAGGGACTGTACGCATACTGTCCCATCGATGGAAGATGTTCCAATGTATACGGCGTTGGATGGAATATTCGGGATAACTTCGGCCGGTGGTGTGTACGGACTGTTCCTGCCAGGATCAGACTTTACAGGCGGTGCCCTCTTCGGCGTCTGCGCTTGTGATGCCACTCTGCTAACACCTTCTGGGAGGGCAGTCGGGAGAGGCGGAGGAAAGGGGGATATTGAGATGCAGGAGGTGGATGCCTGGTGGGCGTGGTAAAATCGCAGCGTTTTGAAAGACGGGAGGGACATGGCATGCTATAAAATGGATCAGAATGTTTCCTTCTGGGTGAATTCTTGTCAGGAGCTTACGATGTTGCCATTATGTGTGCCAACGAACTACATGTATGGTTCAGCGGTTGATCTTGTATGGACCACTTCTCCCAGACCTACCATCTTATCGCCCGCGACCAAGAAAGCACTCGTCGCGTCTCCATTCCGATACACAGGTAACAGGTGAGCTGTCAAACGCGCATATTTCAGCTTGGGCTCGTCTTCCTCTCCCTCGTCGTCGTCCTCTTCCTCAATGTCACTCTCCTCGATTGTCTCCTCATCCTCTGCCGCGTGGTTCTCATCGCGTTCCGGTTGTTTCCCCTTCGTATTTTTCGTGTCGCCCTGATCGTCAGACGCTTCAACCATGTCGGCGCACTCTCTCGATCACATCTGGTGTTATTGGCACGGAAGGATGCTGCGACGCCGTCGATGAGGTCAATGTACAGCTCCAGCTAGCCGAGCTCTGGGAATCGGTACAAGCACTCGTAGGCATCTGATTTCCACCAACTTTTTTGGCACTGCTACAGAATTTCTCACTCAACCACAATTGCATTTCAAATGCCCAGGAATCGTCCTGGACCTCTCTGCGTACCATGCAGAGCTTCGGTCGACAGTTGTCATGCCCCACGGTACGGCGGATCCTCAATGATGGCCGTTCACGTCCTCAACCCCTCCGCTGCCTCCATGCCAGCGCAGCCGGACAAGCACCTCGAAAGCGGAACTTCTTCTCGTCCAATGCAGTTCTGCAACAGGAACTGGCTGGAAATGTTGAAATAGTGAAGGATGTAACTCCGCCGACGAAACGAAAATTGATCCGGTCACCAGCCGGAAAGACATCGTTGCGGAGAGTTGCTGCCGAGGCGCAGAGGTCGAGACAGAATACACTTCAACTAAGAGCCACAGTGGAGGATGCCGAGGGAGTTAATCGAGTCACGGCCGTATCAGTGGCAGATCAATTCGACATGGATGCAGTTGTGCGGATTCTTCGATCCCATGGCTTTTCAATTGATCCGGACGAGACCGGTTTCGATTCGGACCAGGTCATACATACTCGAGGGGTCAATAATGGGGATATATTCGTTTTTCCGTCGGGCTCTATGGTGGCTTGGTCATTGCCAGAGGACGTGGTATCAGATCTGGCCACGAAAAGTCTCCTCCCAGCGGCCATAAGTCCACATATGGATCAGATGGAAATGGAAGATTTGGAGTATGCGGAAGACCCTAAACGGGAGAACAGCAATATCAAAGGGGATGTGATCACCCTTGGGACCAAACCCTCTTTGCAAGGAGATGGGCATACAAAGTATGTCAAACCAATTCCTAGCCAATTTATGCTAACCACCGCTCAGTCCTCGAGTTGATACTACTCTTGCCAAAATTGCCTTCTCTTCAGGTCTTGCACGATCAACGAAGCTGGCTGTGCTGGAAACAATGCTGGGGAAATATTTTGAGTCTACAAGAACAATCCCGACATTACTTTCACGAGGCACCAAGCTGCCATTCAACCGTCGATTCATGATGCAGAAGACCGGCGAACTATTGGAACTCAGGGCACAATTGAACCATTACTCGGAGCTCACAGATTCATTACCCGATTTATTTTGGGACAGCAGACATGAGCTAGGCTTGGAGGGATATTACGATCAAGTTGGCAGAGCACTCGATGTCGGTGTCCGAATTAAAACATTGAATGAGAAAATGGATTATGCACAGGAGATTGCCAGTATCCTTCGGCAAACTATGAGTGAGAAACACAGCATTCACCTGGAGTGGATTATTATCATCCTGATTGCCGTGGAAGTGGGGTTTGAACTTCGACGCGAATTCAAGGAGAGAAGGGAGCGTCTGGCGAAGAACAAAGAGGCGTCATTATGATTTGCATTGGGGAGAGGTCAGGCATTGCATCTCAATTGGCGTTAAAAGTGAGTATTTGATAGAGTTTTGAAATAGACGATACCCCACTCGATTTGAAAGAGATTTGTCAATCTCAAGTCAGAGCTAGTCTCTGTTAGTACCTCGGCCCTATCTCCTTAGGCTATGTAGTTCCATGTTGTTCTTGTGTCCCTTACACTGCATATATGACCTACCCCATGCCGATCACCAAGAGTGCGGTTTCATGGGTCGGTACTCCGTTCCCCGGTTGTTGTCCTTCTCAAGGGTTATCCTTGGCTTGAATGGAAGGTTCTCTTCTTATGAGCCAGCTGTAAATCCGTCACTACTTTGGCTACAGCGACCGGCAGCTTCGAGTCCCGACCTGGTGCAATTATACAAAGTTCGGAATTTCAAGCAATTAAGTGTCACTCTGCACAGGCTTCGCACACCCGCCCCGTCAACACTGCCAAGTCTCAGATCGTCGATCTGAGCTCGTACGGCCCTTTCACGGCATTCACAGTGGCAGCTGGGTAGGCATAAATACAAGAGCGAGTCCGTCCCAGATGCTCATTGCTGCTGCTCCTACCTCTGGTTTCCCCTCTCTCTTCTACTATATCACGGGGTTCATCTCTCTTCCATCATGAGTTCCGATACTGAGAAACACACTCCGGAGCAAGTCGACCAAGCGATTGGTGGAGTTTCCATCGATGCCAGCGTCGAGGCATATACGCCCGAGGAGCAAAAAAAGATCATCCGCCGCGTTGATCGACGGCGTAAGGGCAACGGGGTTCCTTAAGTTCTTGTTCTCGATGTCTGAAATACTCCCTCGTCATCTAATGCACTCGCAACACACCCCAAAGGGGTTTAGTTTTACTCATTTTGCTCAACCGTACTCCTCAGACATTCCGGAACAAGAAAAGATGCTGACCCCCCGTTATCCAGTGGTCACGATCCTTGGCCTTCTATACATGTGCAGTCTGATGGACAGGACGAACGTTGGAATCGCCAAAATCGCTGGGTCAGATCTCACACCCCTTTTCATCAAGAATGTTGACCGATAGTATCCCAGAATGTCGACAGATCTCAACCTCGTTGGCGAGAGATACAATTTAATCGTGCTAGTCTTCTTTATTCCCTACGTTCTCTTTCAACCTCTCGCCACTGTCATTATCCGCAAGACTGGACCCCGCCGATTCTTGACTGGTATAACTATTCTCTGGGGTGTCTGTATGATCGTATGTTGACTCCTATTTCCATCTCATCTCGCCTTCTGACATATTCAAGGGATTTGGCTTCGTCCAAAGATGGGACCAAATGCTTGGACTCCGTGTCATCCTCGGGGTCTTCGAAGCAGGATACTTTCCAGGCTGTGTCTACCTACTCTCCACATGGTACACTCGCTACGAGCTTCAACAGCGCAATGCCGTCTTCTTCATTATCGGTAGCATGGCGTCTGCCCTCTCTGGCATCGCAGCATACGGCATCATCCAAATGGGCGGTCTAGGACATCTGTCCGGCTGGCGATGGATCTTCATCGTGCGTTCCCTTCTACTTCTTCCCAGCCCACAGCTCACACCTCCCACAGATGGAAGGTCTCATAACTTGCCTCTGTGGCGGTCTCGGGTCCATCCTAATAGTTGACTTCCCCGAGCAAGCTAGCACCTCCTTCCACTTCCTTACCGCGCAGGAATCCTCCTTCATCGTCTCCCGCATAGAGGCCGACCGCGACGACGCCGTCATCACCCCCTTCAACCTCTCCTCCTACCTGCGCAACGCGCTCGACCCTAAGATCTGGGCGTTCGCCCTCCTCGCTTGCTGTTCAGCAACAAATGGTTACGCAATCGCCTACTTCCTACCCGTTATCTTAAACCAATCTCTGCACTACTCTATCGCAAAAACACAATGCCTTACTGCTCCACCATACGTCGCTGCTGCACTCGTCATGTACTTTTCCGCCGTGTTCGCCGACCGCCACCACATCCGAGGCCCCATTATAATCTTCAACAGCTGTCTAGGCCTCATCGGTCTCCCATTGCTAGGATTCGAGAAGAATAACGGCGTCAGGTACTTTGGGGTCTTCCTTGCGACGATCAGCGCGTACGCGAATGTGCCGCCGATCCTCACGTACCAGGCGAATAATATTCGGGGCCAGTGGAAAAGAGCGTTTTGCAGTGCGACTTTGGTTGGGTCCGCGGGTATTGGAGGCATTATGGGGAGTACGGTGTTTAGGGATCAGGATGCACCGGGGTACAGGCCTGGGATAATTGCCACTATTGGGACGAATGTGGTCACTATTGTTGTGGTGCTGTAAGTGATGCCTCTTGGGCGGGCTCTGATTCTTCTGGGAGGGAAGGTTCGTATTTATGGGCAATTACTGATAACACCTTTACATAGGATCTTGATGTGGAGGTTCTCGGTGGCGAATCGACGGGGTGGAGTGGTGGAGGGGAAGGAGGGTTTTAGGTATACTTTGTGAGCGTGTAAGGGACGAGGTGGGTTGGGTCATACATGAACGGACATAGGAGCCGAGGTTTCTTAACGGTCCGTATTAATGCCACCGCTGCTTGCATATGCTGCTATGGCTTTCAAGGGTATGTTGTCTCGTCCACCTCAGTTTTGAAGTTTTGAAACTGCTTGAATAGCAAGTTCACTACATTGAGCCAAGTGGGATTATCTTTGTGGAGCTTTCAAGTTGATTGTTCTTATTCGAAAGGCAGTGTAGCCTCTTAATTTATATCTTCAGCTTGAGTGGCGAAGGCACCAAGGTCCTGCACGATTTTGTCACGAAAAAAGAGGTGTTGCGAGTAGCTCGGGGACTTGGGAGGTTGGAATCTGGTTTGAGAGTCCAGTAACTGAATGAGCCTTCTACTAAGGATATCGTCCAAAGCAGCCACTCGGATGGCAGCAACTGTGGTATTTTCTGTGCCCAGAAAAGACCCTTTTGGCCATAGATCGGCAGTCACTTGAGGGTCTCGGGGAGAGAGGTTCCGATGGAACAGATGAAGGCGTCCTCGGCACCACAAAGAGACCCTAAGCCTGCAAGTGGAGGCCGAGAGCGAAACCTGAAAAAGTGATTGTGGCAGTCACGTAGCGACCCTTCTGCTGCATTTACGATTAATTTGTTCAAGGGTGTAAAGTATATTGCTTGAATTTAGTTTGTTAGGTTCGGATTTTCCTATTGCCAAATGGACCGCCCTTCATAGGTGACAATCCGCCACGCGGCGTTAGAGGTGCTGGGTCACCAACACACACCGCACATGCAGGATAAGGTGTATGGCGATTATGTTGCTCGTATTTTCGCCGCATACTTTCGGTGTTGAGGTTCTAGGGGGGCTTGCATCCGCAAGCAGTCTCAATATCTCCACTTTTACCAGCCAAAGGTTGAACGCGAATAGACTAAAGTATTCAGCCTTGGCCTGGGGATGGCCTTGGGGAAGAATGGGCCAGACAGAGTTTTCCGGGAATGAGGAGGTGTTGGACACTGTCTCAAATTCTTTCTTGAAATTATTAATTCATAGCTGACTCGTGGTTAGTGTCGACGCCCATCTCGGTTGGTGAACTTTCTAGCAGCCAGCAAATCAACACCGGAAGCCCGGTGAGATTTTCAACACTCGAATACTCAGCTATGTTTCTACCTTATGAATGCTTTTTAGTATCTACCTGCATTTTTTTGTTCGGCTGTCTTCGATGTTATTGTAAGTGGGTTCGATGTCGTGATTTGGGATCTCCTTGAACTGACCGACTTGTAGTCGACCCGATAAGTTGGTTAGCATGACATCAACACTACCGGGACATAAACCTCCTTCCACTTTCATTGAAAGCTTGACAGGACAACACCTGAAAAAGTTGGTTCGGCTCAGGCTGCTATCCACGTGTCGAGCAGCAGCGGGTGCTTGGCCCGATGTCTGCCGGGTATTCTCAAACATCACCCACGGGCACTTCAGCTGGGAATTAATTCCTCAAAGGTCTTCTGCAATATCTCCAATCTTATGGTGTGTTTGCACAGTCCTCTCTCAGCCAGCTATTCGAGTACGGCAGCATTTTGTCTCAACTTCCTCAAAAGTCCCAAATCATCATCACACAAAGTCCACCTCCTTTCTCCTATCCCTTCGTCCGGTGAGACATTGCCAGGCACTAGCAATGGGGTGTCCCGCACTGAACAGGCGGGGTTCGCCTGTCGCACGGAGCATAATATTTATGTACCTCTGCATACAAATTTATTAGTAAGCTACATCGCGTACGCAAGTACAGGCCCTAATGTTTGTTACACCGCCTTGAGTTCTGCTAAGCAAAAGTCGGCTACAGCGCATTGCTACAGGGCATTTCAGTGCAACCCCTGCAAAGGCGGTGTAACAAACATTAGGGCTTGCACCTGCGTAGATGAAATCGCGTCCAATAATGCCCTTTTAATACAAGATACCCCCTTGCTAGTACTAAGTAACATCTTACTAGATAAAGAAATAAAAGTATTTAATTAAAATTAAAATTATTAATATATTAATATAAGTATAAAAAGAAATTAAGTTAAGGGCTAATTACTTAATATTTAATAATAATAAAACAATTATACAAAATATAATAAAACTTTAATAAAAATTAAATATTGTGACGTGGCATGTAGATTAAACTCGCTACAGTGCTACTAGCTGGGCCAAAAGACCGCAGTATTCACGGCCAAGTCGCGAACACGCTTAATACCATACATATACTTGTGCCCGTACGTCACGTGCACCTCACGTAACACACGTCACAAATATATTATATTAATATTTCAAGATTATAAATTAAATTACTATAAGATATAATACACTTTTAATTACTACAATTTATATTAATTAGTATAATAATAATAAAGATATAATATGGTTTTGATTAATATAATTTATGTTAATTAGTATTATATAATAATTCTTTTTTTGATTAGTTTCATATCAGACTTGACGTGCGACGAGAGCGGGAGAGCTTAGTATCCTTAGATAAGTTGAGGGCAGGGCGATATGCTAGTTACTATAACGAATTCGAAATAGCATTATTCATAGCACATAATCTGCTCTTGGTAGCTATTTTCAGGCCTTGTCTCCACTCAATCCAGCCCATTTTCTCTCTTTACTCGCACCAAGACCTCCGACAAAGCCCTTCCCTACGTCTAGTGTCGAACCTCCTCTATAAATATGACCCAGCCCATGTCCAAGAATTTCTGCATATGACACAAGCCCCAACTTCATCGCATCCTGAATCATATCCAATGTGTCGTGCTGTTTGAGCGCATTCTTGTACTTTCGTTTTAAAAGTGGGTCCTGATGCTTGCGGAGATGAATTGTGTATTTTTTGAGATTGGAGGCCTTGTACCTTGTTTGAAGACCAATAGGATGCCCGATGCTGGTGACGATGTAGAAGAATGTGTCGCGAGAGAAGTTGGCGTATTTGGTTTTTTGCTCTGTGACTGGAGCAGGTGTGCTTGTTGGCTCAGAGCTCGTGGGGGTCAAGATGATGTCGTTCGTTTTTTCCTCTGTGGTTGATGGAGGCGTGTCTTTAGGCTTGGAACTTGTGGGCAGCAAGTTGATATCATTGAATACCTTCCCGGCCAAGATTTTTTCGATATGATCATCGTCCTCTGCTCCATATATTAGTGACGAACGTCTCGGCAAGACGAAATAAAGCATACTGTAGATGATTATGCCGTCGTGAAAACGTGAACTCCCGGAATAGCTGATCAGAAAAAAAACGTCCACGAAGCCAATAAGTCGAATTCTTCCAGACCAGGATTCATCATTGACACGGATTTCCCAGGGGTGTATATCACTGTTTGGTGTCGGTAAGTCAGAACACGCTTAGGTTTGACCGATCTACCAGGTCAAGTTTAAGCAGCGTTGTATGGACATACCAATCACATTGTAACGTTTTGTCTTGCACTGACCTTCCAAAGACTTTCAGAACTCGATGATATGATGCCATTTCAATCAATCGACACCTGGTTGAAACATAGCATGTGTGGAGAAGAGAAATCAAGAGACGTTTCTCTCTAGCTTCGGGATGTTGTGATGGATTGCTTCGAGGATGTATGCCGTCTCCCCTCACATGTGATCCGATGTCCGATTCAAACCAAAGAGCTCGAATAATGTCCAAAGAGAGCAAGGGTAATCTTAGAGCTCAAAGCTTACCCGAACAGCTATTCGTAAATGCAGGAAGGCGGGGAAATTAAGGAGTGAAGGTGGTAGGGCAAGCTGAAGTACTGTTTGGTGTTTGACTGCTTGAGGGGTTGATCGTTGTGGTGCGTGTCTGTGACGCGGCTGGTTGACTGGTTGACTGGTTGGTCTTTCCGAGGCCACGATCTGTGAGGCACCCAAAGCAGCCAAAACAACCGAGAATACAGGGTACTCTCTGCCGCCCACGCATTTGCAGCTGCGGTGTAGATCCATCACCGCCCAACACAGCAGATTTGATTCGGAGGAGGGCTGAAAAGCTTCCTGGGTGGCACTTCCGGCTAGGGAGAACGGGTGAACACATTGTGTATTTTGTTCAAGCTAGAATACAACGGTTGGCAGACGAATACCCAATCGAGTAGAGATCCCAGTTCACGCTTCTGATTTCCGCCTGATAATTACGGTATTTGTGAAATTTATCTATGGAAGTAAAGAGGCTTTCTCTTAAAACTGTGCTCGCCTTTTTGCACTGTGCACTGCAGTCCCACCGCTCGCAACTAGTTCTTCAAATTCTCCCACCTCTTCAACCCCAAACCAGTCTTCTCGTTCTTCCAAGAATACCACTCGCAAAATGTCGTGGACCGACCAGAACGAACTTATGCGCCTTGGGAAGAAGATGCTCGACGCGACGGGGACCAGTACTCCTTCCGAGAAGTCCATGATATCGCAACTTGCCAGCAGCACAGGTGTCGCGTACAGTGTGGCCCGAGATGCTTACGTCAAAGGGGTGCTTGATCCCCTGCTCCAAGAGAAAGTTCGGAAATCCATGAATTGGCTAATCCATGCGAATTTCATCCCGGAATTCGTTGATGACAGGGCTTCAAAAACTAAACTCGATGATTTTACCGAAGCATCCGCGATCAAACCTGACGGCGTCGAGATACCCAAGCGCATGTTCAACTTAGACACCGGAAATCTTGAGGAATGGCCCTCTGGACAGTACGTTATACTGTCCCACAGCTGGAAGGGGCAAGAGATTACCTACCAATTCATCTCCAAGATAAAAGAGAGTCAGAAGAAAAAGGAAGCCTACGAGATGGTTCAAGACGACTCTGATGAGGAAGCCAAGAAGTTCGCAAGGTTCAAAGCCAAGAAATTCGACCACCTGGAAGTTGGAAAAAGCGATGTTCAGTTACTCAGTGCTCAATGTAAGCAAGACTTACGGGCCCAAATTCGGAAAATAGAAGCACTCCTGAATAGCTCTGGAACCAAATCCAACATACGCGAGCTCCTTGTTCAGCTAACCAAGTTCAAGATAGCGACCTCAGGAGAAGAGAAGGCTCGGAATTCTTTCAATGAGAAAGAAGAGGAGCTGAAGCTGAGAAGGATGTCAGGGAAGGTGCCGGAGATCGAGGGAAAAGACGCGGGGGTTGACAATTCGAAAGTGCCAAGCGGAACGGACGGAAAGAACAGTTTGAGCGAAGGATTGGCTCAGGCTGCAGCAGAGATGATTCAAGCTAAGGATCAGTGGGACCAAGCTAAGGAAGAGCTGAGTAGGGCAACAGAAAGCTGCAAGGTTATGAACCAAGATCCTGCACTTCGTTCTGCCGTTGAGGATTTGATTCCAGTCTTGGAAAGGAAGAAGTCCGTGGATAAAATTGAAGGGTCAATGAAGGAAGCCAAAAGAATCCTAGATTGGGGGCTGTTTCCAAGTAAGGCTCCAAAACGCTATTTGTGGAACGACACGTGCTGTATCAACAAAGCCGATGCGAACGAACTTAACGAGTCACTGGCAATGATGGGACAGTGGTACAACAACGCCGATTTTTGTTTGGTACATCTTGATACCACGGAGTCCACAGAATGGGTCGATACATGGGACAATCTGGAGAAGACGGCTGAGAAATCAAATTTCCCTAGCTTTGATCTTGTCGAAAAACCGAACTGGGCTACGCGGGGATGGACACTACAGGAACTTGTGTTGAGCAAGATGACATTTCATGTCAATAGTCTCTGGCAACCATTGACTCGATCTGTAGAAGGGCTGGGTCCTTACTATTACCATTGTTCCTACCTTGCTCACCATATCCGGGACATCGATAAACTTGACGTGCCCCTGAAAGCAAAGCCAATTCTTCAAGACTGTGCAAAGCTACAAGAATTGATGGATACTGAAGAGAAGGTACGTCCTCGCAGGTTTTGTTATAAATACCAAATTGACCAAAGATTGTGAAATCTAACTGTGAGATAGATCGACTACGTCACCTATGAAGGATGCTCAGAAAAGTGGCTAAGGCTGATTGGCATTCTCAATTATCTTGGCGTTCATTTCCCGGGAGCCATGAATGACGACAATTCCAATGCCTACATTCGAAAAACAATCTCTCTAGCAGCATACGAGATCAAATCTCGTCTCGACGAGGGAGATACTGGCGCTGGAAGGCTTAGGTCTTTATTTGAAGACTTGGGTTTCGATTTGACCTCCATCACAGAGCAAGCCACAAACTTGATCAAGGTTTTGGTGAGAACCTTGATCGATGACTGCAAAATCTCTATTGAGCTTGACCGAAAGCGAGTCTCTGAGTTCACAAATGTCCCTCCAGATGAATGCTGTCGCGGGCTCAGCAGATCCAGGCATCCGGCCCGCGACATTTTGGTTTTGGCGTCTCATCGAAGATGCACTGTTCCCGTTGATAGTGTTTACTCTTTGATGGGAGTTCTCGGTGTGAAATTTCCGGCATTTCATGCAGAAGGTCCAACTAAAGCACTTTGCCGGTTACTCGACGAGGTGGTCATTACCTCAAATGACATTTCTGTTTTCAACTGGGCTGGAAAAGACCTGGGAAGTCCGATCAGGGGTCGATCGCTGTATCCTTCGAAATTGAATGCGTTCAACCCAAAGAACACCGAAAGCTATCTTACTGCAAAAAAGAACGATGAGGCTGCGAAGGCCTCTAGAGAGGAACGGCACGCCTTACAAGACACAGAATCGCGTCTCACCTTGTTGTTGCGTGGAACGATTGAATTTGTTAAAGTAACGCCGCATAAAGACGTGCCCGTTGACTTAATACGGAGCATTCTGGGGTTCATTAAAGCAACTAAGTTGATTGACCTCCAACCTCAACTTGAGAATCTTAGCAGGTTGCTAGTATATCTCAAAAATACTCCCCACTTCGAAGAGTACAAGCCAAAGACACGTTCCTGGGACGACCGCGAAAGAACTAAGAGTGCGGTGGGCGAAGAAAGGAACGCACAGAGTGGTGGCAACATTGCTTCCCGGTTCGGAATCAAAACGCCTCAAATTCCACAAATGCCTCAGATGCCACAAATGCCACAATTCTCAGCACCGAAGCTCAAAGTCGGAGGGTTTCAAAGCTTTTATGGTAAAAAAAGTACCTCCAAGGAACCAGAGCCTGCCAATGGAAGTTCAAATGCTGCACCAACCACACAGTCACCAGCTACAACTATACAAGAACAGAAAGAACCCGAAACTCTGGCAGGTGAAGTTGCAGCTTGGATTTCCGAAAAGCAGGACATCAAGAACATTCCGGATGAATTCAAAGCGCTTTTCAAGCACCTAGAAGCTGAACACTTGGATCCAACTCCTGCAGGAGACGAGAAATCGAAGAAAATCAAAACGTCTCACAGTGACAGCACGATTTGTCCAAATCCAATCACGCTCACCACATCCGGCATCGAAGGCATTTTCGATATCCAAAGAGTCATAATCACCATGCCGCATGCTGAGCAACTTCAGCACCAGGTGGAAAGTGCGGTGCATGAAAGCGAGAAGATCAGCGGCGAGTGTACTATCAGTACTGGACTTTCTACGATAGCAGTCAAATTTTCTTGTGCTGTCGGTGATTTGCGGAAGGAGCTGAACGTGTGTGACGTTGTAAGACAAGCGTTGTTTGACGAAGAAGTGGAGGGACGGGCACAAGGGTCAACACAGACTGAGCAACCACTTACCCCAGGACAAGAAAGCACAAACTATTACAACAAACTCACTTCGATATCGTCTGGCTTAATGCGACAAGGATCTCCAGCGACTGGAGCCACCGAGAATGAAGATGTTAAGAAAGATGTTCAGAATGAAGAGACTCAGATTCAAGCCTCTGGCCAGACTGAAGAGCAGAGAAGGGTGACCGCCATGCTGGACTTTGTCCAAGAAAGTGACCTCAACTTTATTGTCGGTGAATGGGTTCTAGCAAGATTCACAGGTGCTGAAGGAGCAAAATGGTTCCTTTGCCAACTCGAACTCGGCTCCACGCACAATTATTATGGACGAAGAATTGCTACGGACGAGATTGACTTCAAGACTGTAGTGCCGGAGTCCGGACTTATGGGACACTGGAAGAACTACATGGAGAACAAGAAAGCAGAGCTGTGCCGAGTTGTGAGTATATTCGTTCACGCACGCGATGCTCGAAGGTATGCAGACGAGGTAGCCGGCCCAGAAAAGGAGAAAAAGGACAGAGAGGCACCGGATAAGACTGAGGAAGATGAAGATTCAGACAACGCAAGGTCAGACCCCAAGGAGAGGCTGATGGACTTTATCAAACGAGGGACACACATCGGCGCGGGAATTGTGCAAACTGTTACCGACAGGTGGGGGGAGAGACTGGATGGGATGTTGAGTGACACCATCCTTCAGAAGGTGCAGAAAGACTTGAGGGCTGCAATCGTAAATTTGAATGAGAACAAGGATTTATTGCCGGCTATGTTTCTGAGTGGAGTCAAGGTTCATATGTTCTGAAAATGTCGAGTTGAATACTTTGGAGTACATAGTCAGAGAATTTGAAAATCAAAGAATGAATTATTGAGATTCAAGATATCGACTGTTTGTGACCGGAGTATCTAGTGTATTTATTTTCACACCTTGGTTTGATTATTTTGTTTGTTTAAGGGGCCCATTTCCCTGCATCAAATGAAGCAGTACACAGGACCTGTGTTGCCCTCCATAATGGCTGCACGTACTTTACCTCATAGTAAAAAATATAGGGTAGCACATTGCTAAATCTACATTTACACCACCCGTGCGATTTGACGTAAACCCCGATGAGCTGGCGACGCCGGGAAATGCGAGGAAAGGGTCACGCTTTGCGTTGATACTTGGAGAACGTGTGTATCCTCCGTATTGGTCATTTCAGTACAGCCAGGGGGCATGTTTCCCGAGATCAAGTTCAGCTGATATGCAATGCAAAGCATGCGTTTCCACAAGCAGTACAAGCATGCATTAGTGGGCGCGATAGTACGTTACACAAAGTCAAATTGAGGATGATCTTCGAGTAAGAGGACATGGCCAAAAGTATGTGAATCAGTGGACAGGACAGGGGCTCCGTCTAAAAGTACGAGCAATTCAGGGTCCAAGTCCTGTACTTGATCACTATCTAAGGGCACTTTTATCGGGGCTGAAACTACCATGAAGGCAGGGCAAGTACGGAGGTGCAGCGTGATGGGATGAGAAACGGACAGGCATTTTCGGGTTTGGCACTGCCAGACTGGTCCTCTCGTGCTGAAGGTCATGAAGGGTGGTGATGGAAGTCACCTGGAGTGCCCGTGCATGATAAACTAGTGGCTTCGCAGGACTTACTTCGATAGTACGGAGGTACTTCATTACAGCTTCCGATTGACTCCTTCACAGAGAGCTTGAACGGAATAGTGACAAGTCCGTCGTCGGCTGACCAAGCCAAGCTGTCGTGGAGCCTGTCTTTACGCAAGCCACAAATTTGCGCCTGTGGGGAGGTCTCGGAAGTCCACTAACTTTAACGTTTTGGTTGGAGGGCACCAGCCGTGTCTCACTACGGGTGACCGTAGTGACCAAAAGGCCCCATAGCCATTTTTGCAACATCGCTAAAGCGAGCAAATCAGTCATTGAGCCTTTTAGTCGCAAACACACCTCCCCTGTAGAATTTCTGCCCCATTCATCCACTGAAATGGGGTCGCTAATCTCTACTAAAGCTGGAAAAGCTGCATTGCAATGGGCAAATTTTCTGCCGTGAGAAAGGAGAGGGTTCGTTGGAGTACTTTGGTTGGTAGGGGATATGAGCCGGGTTGCTTGCACGTTGTGATTTAGCGGCCACAAATATGTGGTCGCGTTTCGGGACTGCCATACCAGTCTTCGTATTTAGGGGTGAAATTTCTTCGACTTTCAAACTCTTTCAGCTATCGAAAAGCTGCACAGTGCAAGCTGTAGCTCAAGCCAAGACGCAAAAACGCATATCCTGCCCAGCGGGGTTCTTTTGGGGGCACAGCATCCACAGACCCGCTCATAGTTGTGGGGGAAGTTTTCTTCCAGAAAAACTATAAGCCTAGAACTTGCTGAGCCTACAACATATTACAACATATCTCGAAACATTCAGCAACCATGGTCGACATTGTCTCAATCATCATTGCAGTTGTCTCCCTGATTGGATCTCTTGTTGCAGCAGGCTTCACGGGATGGATCTCATTCTACATAGACCAAGTCAAACGACGCTCCGAAGCCAAAGCCTTGGTCCATAAATATCGAGATCCTCTGATGTTAGCGGCTTATGACCTTCAGTCAAGGTTTTGGGGCCTTGTTCAGCAGAACCTTCTCCGCTACACCGAGGATGAAAATAAGAAAGATCTCATATATGTCTACACTGCTTTCTTGGTTGGGCAATATCTTTCCTGGACATACATCCTCCGTCGCCAAGCACAGTTCTTGCGTTTCTCTAGCGACAAGACCAACACGCAACTCAACCAAATTCTGGACACTGTTACAAATGAGTTCAGCTTGGACAGACACAAGGGAGAAGATCCCTTCATGCTTTGGCGTGGGCAGCAGATGGCGATAGGAGAGTTGATGACTGTGTCAGCAGGAGAGGAAGGGCAGCTCTACTGCATGGGATTTGCCGCTTTCGCAGTCAAATACAACAGTGATCCGGATTTCAAAAAGTGGTTCCACCCAATTGAGACGGGCATTACACTGCTGGTGGAAGCAAGTGCACAAGGAAATTCTGTGGCAAATTATAGGTTGCGCCGACTCCAGCACCTACTGGTTGACTTGGTTCTTCTTTTGGACGAGGACCGTATTGCGTCGGGACAAAACAAGCAGTTGAAGGTGGACGCTGCACATTCGTGTAGTTGTGATAAGTGTCCTGGCGTCATTGTTACAGAGTCTCCTTCTGTATCTCCGATTTCGAAGCTCCCTGAGCCATAAGTCCTCTGTCTTCCTGCTATGTCACCCGATTCGAGCGGTGAGGGTGGGAAGTTTATTCGGGTGTCTTTTCTAGCAATAGCCCCTTGATATGTGATGGAAACGCGGATCTGAAGTAATACGCCCCGTTCGCGACATCTGGGGTATATTATATCGAAATCGAGTCTAAAACAAACGCGCAGTTTATGAATTCAATAAGTAGGCTAATCTCATGAAATCCATCAAATTTCGTTCATACCAAAATTGTCCAAGTGCTCATAGTCGGTCCGAGACAAAACTGACAAAATGCTCGCACTTTTGCGCTTATCATAATATTTTAATTAATATTAAGTAATGTAATTATAAAGTAATAGTATGGAAATAAAACTTACTTACTCTTTTAATATAATTCGTATCAAATTAATAATAGTAATTTAAAATATACAAACGACTTTTGCTTTTTTATTATTTTATTATATAAAATGCAAAAGAATTTATTTCTGAAAATTATATAAGCTTAAATAAAACGGTTTAAACATTAAACATGGATATTAGCACTTACTCGGGGAGTTTTGCCTCCAGCATTGTTAAAAATAATCGCCACCATGGTTCCAGTTGCACTGCGTCTTCTTGCAGACCTGCTGGACTCCATTCACATCAAGTTATTCAAAATTGCTTTCAGATTTACTACTTCGTTTCTTATTAATTCAAGTCTTCCTGACAGTTTCCTTGTCAGCAGGAATCACGACTGTTCTGGGAGGGTTGGCAAGCACGATTCAAGCAGTGCCGGCAATCTTGCTCGGAATTTACCAAAAGCATGCAATTACTTCTTCTTTTATATCATGATGTATGCCGTTGCTACCACCGTCTCAATTCGGACTCAAGCGAGTAGAATTATTAATATGTTTGTTTTATTCCCTATCCTCGATGCAACTGCAAGGCAAAAGTGGATAAGAAGAAAGAACCTGAACGTGCAGAAGTAGTGGACATCTATACTATCTCTTACAAATATTGCATGCATAAGTAGGTCTCTCGGCCTCTAGTTAAGAGCACATATTGACATAATCTCACTCTAGGTCTTATTTATTCGGTCATCGCTCCCCTTGTTCTAGTTTCGTTATTATTTGTTTTGGGTCGCTTTGGATCCTATATAGATCCTATCCCCCAAAGATCACAGAATTAAATCTCAGCATTAGCGGTATATTCTATCCTACTGCAATATGCCAGCTACTTATTCGCGTTTACTTTATGGAATTGTGTCTTGTAGGTTTATTCTCCAACATCCCGGATTCGGTAGGTCGTACATTCTTCTAAACAAGACCCGCGTAACTAATTATCTTAGAATCAAGGACATATGTCTGGCTCTGAAGCACACGGAAGTGGAAAGTGTCGAGAACCTCGTCTCCAAGTACGTACTTGTCAGGGAGGGAATAATCCAACCACGAGAGCATGGGTCAAGTGAATCATAGCGGGACACGCCAAGAGAATATCCGCCAACTGCAAAAATCGATCAGTGGGAGTTGACACGCACATCAGAAACAATGAGTCCAGGCGCAGACCACACCAGAACCCTCCGGCATCATCTACCGCAGTGCTGAACACTTACAGCGCAGCGAGCGAGGTCCCCGCAGTTGATCCAATCACTTCTTTCAACAACCTCCATGCCTTACGTGAAGCGAGTAGAACTGAGACGGACTGGCCACATGCACACGAAGGAGTTAGGGACTCCGATCTGGAGTCGGGGCGCACGTCGCAGTTGGCGGAAGTCACCACAGCTCGTTACTCAAATCAGCGCTGCGCCGCGCAAATTGAGAGCGCATCAATTATATCACTCCTAAGTCAGCTCCACGATTTGATTTCAAATACAAATCCAGTATTTTCCCGAGACTCTGGGGTCTCCAGGCCACTAGAAAATTTTCTGCCAACAGGAAATGGCTTTGTACCTGGTGCAGGCAAGCCGTACGTATCAGGGCGTAAGACAAGGAGCTAATTGATTTATGGAGCCGAAAAGAGCCGGTCACTATAGAGGCCACGAGCGGGAGCGGCTCCGCCAACGATCAAGAGTGTTCGGGGCTGAGCGTGGGGGGCAATTTAGATGCCTTCATGGGGGGTTCTGGGGACAATCATGATCGCTTGCCCGAGGGTTCGGTCGTATTTTCCCACCTCTTCAAACGCGAACTGATAGATCGGAAGCAAGAGTGAATATCGGCCCTTTTTAGAAAAGCATTCCAAATGATACAACAGCAAGAGTGAATGTCGGACCTTCTTGGGATAGTCTTCCAAATGAGCAATTGTTCGGTGGTAATATATTCACCTTGATCATTGGAAAAATGGCAACGAAACGCGTCCTCATCAACGAGTTGTCACAAGGAGAAAAACCATCCCTGCGTCAACGACTATGGGCTCATCGAAATACACCATGTGCCCGACTTCAAGTTTTACTGCAGGTGTTTCCGCGTCCCAAACTAACGCAGTCGCACCCTCTTCTATTCGAAGAGGGATCAAATATACAGGTACGGCTGATTCAACCCAACCCCTCGAATCTGCACGAAGGATTTGATATTTGATCTCATGTTCCTGCTAGGTGTTAGCATTTGTTTTACTCACGATGGAAATTACGAGCTTTGAAATTTAGTTCCTTTAATCTGGTCAATATTGGCTTCAGCCTTTGGAACCTGTCCTTATGCCTGCACACTCCCACTCGATCGCTTATGGGTTCGAAATTTGCGGATATGGTCCATTCGCCCAAACCTTCGAGTTCCTTTTGACCACCCGGTAAGGTGTAACACTGAAGACGTGAGCCGCTGATAACGCTAGACATTGTTGATTCTCCGCCGCAGTTCCCGCAGCGGACAAGGGGCGTATATCTTTGTCTTAAGCCCGAAGCGATGTAAGATATGCCGATCAGCGGATGTAAGATTTGTATCGGGCGCCACGAAATGTCGAGATGGGATATCGACCGTTGACTGTGGAGGTCAGTCCTTGGATCGGATTACAAAGGCCAGTGGTATATGCGTACCCTAGCACGTGATTAGTAAGAATTTACATAACTGCTCGAAGACTGACTTGAAGCGTGGTGGCAGTTTCGGATTGCTGACTCCTCCTGAGGGCCAATGGCGTTTGCTGCGTGTTGGGCAGCGGGGCCATGTGACCTCCGGTGTACGCTAGTACTGTTATGATTTAGCGCAAGAGGGCTCAACGTCATTCCTCCATGAAGTGCGTGGCGTTGAAAACCGTCCCGCTGCCAAAACGCGCGAGAAGCACAAAACCGCTACGTTTAGAAAATTACGGAGGTACAGCCCATAAGTATTCACATAGCAACCGAATCGACAGGGGTCTATGAAAATTTAAACCCTCATAACTCTTTCAAATCGTGACATAAAAGCGCCTAGTCAACTCGATTATTATCTCATATACATATGCTATTATGCTATTTTATTTTTCTGTTTTTTATAGCATTTCGTAGTTGCGTTATAAGGGTTTGAAGTTCAGACCCCTGCTAGCGCTATATGAATACTTATGGGCTGTACCTCCGTAAACCAAATCTCAATGGAACGCCCGAAATTCTTCAAAAGTACTTTGCGTAATTAAAAAGAAGCAGATCTAACTTAGAGTAATTTTATAGCAATAGAATATAAGGCAGAATTATGAGAATTTCTGTAATGCGAGCGTTAAAATTGCGCCAGTCCTCGCTTAGCGAGTTACTAGACGGATTTCAATGCGCGCTTTACCTCGTTAGGGCACACTATTGGGTACCTGCCCCGCTTGCAGCAACGAATTGGGGCAGTGCGGGGCAGCGCGGGGCATCTGGTGCCTACAGCTTCCACTTTTGGCTACCTGTGAATTTCGTTTGCCGAGCCGACACAAACTAACCCAATTCCCGGGCCTCCGACTTCCTAAATCATATCGGCAGTTCCTTGGCGTAGTACCTCTCACTCTCCAGTTTCTCTTTTCCACACGCTCTCGTCCCGTCACTTACCTCCATCTACCTGGTTTGAGGTAATCGATCCATCCTGTGTGCATCAGAAAATCTCTGGGCATTTTCAAAACACCCGGCCCCGCATCTATTGACCCTCCAATGTTAAGATATATATGAGTCGGCGGATTTGAACATATTCGAAGTAAGATATTCCTCGAAAAATTTCTTCTCCACCTATTTAGCTACCTGCGAGCACCCTCCTTTCTGACATACCAATTTTCTAGTCCATGGACACAACACAACCATGGCCCTCCCTTCCTTCGAGAGCATTCCAGCTTTCAAAACCAAACCACACGTTATCGTACTCACAGACATCTGCAACGAACCCGACGACGCCGAGTCGCTCACTCGTTTCCTACTTTATGCAAACGAGTTCCATATCGACGGGCTCGTTGCAACAACCTCCTTCTGGCAGCAGTCCTCCACACATAAACAGCAGATCCACCAGATCATCGATGCATATGCTAAGGTCGAAGCAAATTTGAACGCCCATGTCCCTCCTAGCCGTCAGTATCCGATTGCAGATGCTCTACACCAGCTCGTCCGCGATGGGCTGTCCGAGTACGGGATGAAAGGTGCACGAGGCCCATTGAATGCCGGCACTGAGCTACTCATTTCAGCCGTGGATGCAATCATCGAGGAAGGTCATATCTGGGTTTTGATTTGGGGTGGTGCCAATGTACTCGCTCAGGCCCTCCTCGAAGTTCACAACTCTCGATCGGAAGCTGAGGTCAATACATTTGTTGCTAAGCTTCGAGTATATGCCATCTCGGATCAAGATGACGCCGGAGCATGGATAAGATTGAACTTCCCCAAAATATTCTATATTGCGTCTGTCCACGGTTGGAATGCGTACGGCCTTGCTGCGTGGACGGGCATCTCAGGAGAGTCATACTACAATTTCAACCCTGGTGGACCCAATTCCGATCTTGTGACGGCCAATTGGCTGAAGAAATATATACAGATTGGGCTATATGGTAAAGCAGCCTATCCAGATCCAGTGTTCATCCCAGAAGGCGACACGCCCACGTTCCTCAACCTCATCCAGAACGGACTCACTGATCCTTGCTGCCCTGAATGGGGTGGCTGGGGAGGACGATACAACCTTACAGATCTGACTGGTGGAGATGGTAGCAGACATTATAGTGATACTGCCGATTATGTTCGTGGTAAAGATGGCAACATGCACGTTGGTAGCCAGGCTACAATCTGGCGTTGGAGAGAGGCATACCAAGGTGATTTTGCCGCACGTATGCAGTGGACGCTGGGCAGCGACTTCAATAAAGCAAACCACGCCCCCGTCGTTGTAGTCAACGGTGATTCAGAGCTAAGTGCTCTGCGAATCAAGACCGGATTCGGAACCACCGTGCACTTGGACGCTTCCCAGAGTTGGGATCCAGATTCTTCTGATAGCCTAGAGTTCCGATGGTTGCACTACAAGGAACCCTCGGCGACACAGTGGACAGCTGGTTTCCAGGTCCCGGAACTTACTTTCAAAGACGAATCCGATGGGAAGAGGAAGTTTGATAAAGTCTCGGTGAAGATTCCTGGGAAGGATGAAGGCATGATATTGCCGTTGCATCCTGGAGAAATCATAAAATGGGGACCAAAAACTTACCATTTAATCTTGGAGGTGGTTGATAATGCTGAGTTTCCAATGAGGGCGTATAAGAGGGTGTTAGTGGAAGTGACGGATGAACCACTGGTGGCGGAGAACGCGGAAGATGATTGAAAGTGTCGAAAGCGACTTTGCTATACATCATCACACTATTGAAAGTGACATCACGGGACGTCAGCTTACCAATTTCTCCATTTCTGCACGTCAGCTGATTTGTCATGGGCATTACCTGACAAATCAAGCTACCATGTATATATATGCCCCCAAATCCTTGGTTTGGAGGGCTAGCTGCTATTGTCAATAAATGTCCATTCCAACACACACCAATTTCCCAATTCTCACGCGTCACCTAATTAGCTCCACGCTACCATGTACATATATGACTTCAAGTCCTTGACTTGAAGGGCTAGCTGCTATTGTCAATAAATTTCCATTCTAATAGGAAGGCCTTCGAGGTATGACATGGCAGCTTGGAACTGAAATATTTATTACTTTCCGTTGACGGAAGGAATTCTTTATTATTTACACGGTTGATCTCCGTGGCAGTTTTAGCAATCCGACTTCAATGTTCATGCCTTGCACTCTCGAATATCCTTGCGTCGGTCGGGTGGTATAAGAAACAGATGCACACGCGTTCCTCTCTTAGGCCAGACAAAAGGAGATGAATGGAAATGAATGGCGGATTGGCCAGAGAGAGCTACGGGAACGGTATACCCTTGTAATAGCTAGTCACGACCAGCTTTTAAATGCATATAAGGCAAAAGGGGCTATGTAGTAGTACTGAACCCACTTAATTAGCATGAGAAGCTTATACTTGGAAATCATCTGTGGCTGATATATATATATTGTATGGAGACGCACGCGGTTCAACGGGCCGGCCTGAGCAGAAGCAGCCAGGATCACCAACCGAATGTGGAACGAAGACTGAGAGCTTAGAGTTCAACTACCGAAGAAGATCTGTTCAAGAATCACGCTATCTTGAGATCTCACTCTGCTTCTGCTTTATCAGGCAGGGGTTGAGAAGGCCGGCGAATATTCTCATGATTCGCACAGCAAACGAGAATAAGCTTGGCCCAAAACGGACACCGAAATGGTGGCAGGTGATTGAGTCTCCCTCCTCTACGAGAGCCCAACATGGCGTTGGGCCTCAAAAGCCTTATCTGGTAGTGCTGTCTTTATTTCAGTCTCAAGTTTATAAGATGGTGATATTTCAATCTCTGGAAGATCAAGTGCTTCTTTCTGAATACGAAAATTAGGAAAGTTCCTCAGCCTTGTCGCTCACTCATTTTCCGGTACCGTCAAGCAACATGGATTGTTATCCAATAGAAAGAGGACAAAACTGGAAGGGCTATCACGTCCCTGCCCATTCCTTCCCAATGGCACCAGATGTCTTATCTCCAGCCAACTTCACCACTTATTCTAACCTGGTGATCCCTCCAGGCTCGGAATTAAGGGCCAGAAATCTTTCCAATAGCTCAAGCCTATCTAATTTGTCTTACACTTCATCCCTGGTGGGTTTTGACTACGCAAACAACATGGATTTTTCTCCCGCGTTGACGCACATGGACCTTGACTCTCAGCACCCGGGGACTGGTTTGTCCGGGATGCCTTTGACATCGGCCGTTGAGTACAGTCTCGGAAATCGTCACACCCCTAAAAGTCTTGGGTGGACGAACGACACACCATACGCAAAGCTCTATGAGCTCCGAGTCCCTAAGGGTAAGGAACCATACTTGGAATTGCTGCCCAGATGGACTGTTACTTTTGCGACACCACAGAGAGTCTACTTGGACAAACCGGAGTATTACTCCAGCCTTGCAATCATTCTTCGAAGACTGATAGCTGATACTCTCAGGAACCCGCAAAAGGACGAGTTCCCTTGCCAGTATCCTGGCTCCTGCCCAAATAATAAGTCCAATGTTTTCGGCAGACCGGCCGATCTCGAGCGTCACTACAAGGTCGTCCACGCACCTGATCAGATAGAAACCTTTCCTTGCGACTATCGTAAGTGTAACAGATCAACAGAGCCGTTCACTCGCAAAGACCACTACCGCGACCACCTACGAGACTATCACAAGGAGGACATCGGTTCTGCGAAGACGGACAAGATGGCTAAGAACAACAAGGAGATATATGCGAAGTTGCAGCGAGATTGGCTGAAGGAGAGACACACGAGACCAGGGTCTTGGAGGTGTGGGAAGTGTTTGGTCAAGGTGGACGTCAAAATCCACGGCTGGGACTGTCCTGAGTGCAAAACCTCCTGTGAGGGGGATCGCGTCAAGGTTCGCCAACTGCTAGCCGGGGAAAATGGCAAGGCAGAGAAGGAAGAGACTTACGGGGAGTCAATGGGAATGGCCCTTGAGCAGAATGAGTATTACTCATACTCGGGACCTACGGCTTGCTCTGTGTGTGAAGGGTCGGAGTGGATCGAAGATGGCTATGGCGCTTGGCAACCATGTGCACATGCTCACACACAAGTGCATTACTTGTAATCGGAACCTATGAAGTCTTCAGGGGCTGTCCAAACCATCGGTCTGGAGATATTCCGTCTCATGAAGTAGCATTTCCATAGTTTTTGCCACGAATTTCTTTACAGCACCGCATCAACTAAGCATACCTTGACGAAGATTGTCACACTCTCTTTACATTCCTCTTACTCACATCGAGGAGGCAATTTCAGTACCTTTAGGAAGAGGAGATATTGGAATTATGTAAGAATGTTAATGATGGAGCAAAGAGTCGAGATACGACGCGCTTCACCTCTTTCGCGGCTGCTGAGGTAATTAATCACCTGGTATTTTTTGAACAATAAGCCGAAAGCAAATATAAACCAAGATATAATCGAAATCTAATTTTATCTAGTGGAACATTGGGATTAGGGTGTAGTTGTCCCTTGATGTAGTGGATACTTCCAAGAAACTTGTTGAATTTTGCGTTTCATTTCAAGGACTCTTTCTCTCATTGGCCTGATTCAACTCACTTTCGGCTCACCTAATGTAATGATTGGATTTGCCTTCAAGATCCCTGTCTAGCGTATGATGGTATGGGAAGGAAAACTCAATAGCGCCATTAGTAATCATCTTGGCCGCTTGGCTTGCTTGGCGCGGGTCCTTAAGCTCACCTTTCAGCATCCCACCGTAAAGCAGCGCGTATGGTCAAATAACTTCTCCTCAATTTTGTCTCTGGAATAATTGTGCAATATCAATCACTGATAGTTCCTACACATCCATCCAATGGTGGATGTCGTGCAGCTACAAAAGGTTCAAACACCAAGAGCTTTGTTTCGGCAACCTCTCGCGTTGCAATGGTTTCAAGATGGCGAGCTGGTGAAAAGGATGGACAATGAGAGATCAGCAGGTAAGGATACTTCATCTCTTACAGCTTTCTGCCTATGATTGACATGATAAAGGGAGATTCGAACTTTTCCTGGACCTTCTTTATGTTGCCATTCTCGCCAATTTTGCGGAAAATTTAGCAGAACATGCGTCCGGATCTGCCTTGGTCAAATACATCGTTGGTGGATAACTTGACTGTTTTGCGGTATCTGACAAATTACAGCTAATTCTTGCCCCCTCATGGCATATCTGGAGCGACCTCCGAGAACTAATGAACTCGTTCTACAACGACGACCTCGCGCAACGAGTTTTCATCCTTTGGATCATGGCCATTCTGGTAATCTACGGAAATAACGCCATTCTAGTTGAAGAAGATATCGGGGCCATGCGAGCCACCGTTGGAGCCTACATGGTCGCACGGTGGTCTTCGAACACAGTTCATCTCATCTACTCATTTTCCAGCTACCATCATCGGGCTCAGCAGCGGCTGTGGTTTGTCCTTTCTGGGCTTACGTTATGCCTCTACATTCCTTTGTTCATCGAGGATTTTTCGATCCGAAGCAAGATTGCCGTCGCCGCTGTCGCTATCACAATGGAGGAGTGCATCTGGATATTTTCCTACTCACCAGTGGCCAAAAAACTTCTCAAAGCACGCTACACGACCGCAGTCGACATTGCACACGAAGTCGATCGATTTGCTGCTTTCTATATTATTGTCCTTGGAGAATTTCTCTACCAGATAGTCGTCCACTCCCCTGCAGCAGTTGGGTTCAATATGCGGCTTATGAGAGCGATCTGGACTCTCATTATTGCTTTCTGTTTGAATTGGCTCTACGTCCACAACGATGGCTCACTTGAGTCAGTTCACCCTTACAGACACAACATCTGGGCGTCTTTCATGTGGGTCACCATTCATCTGCCATTGGTTGCCAGTCTGCTGGTTGCTGGTCACGTCTCAGCCCTCAGCGCTAGTTTGGATGAAGTGCATGAGGGGGAGCTGTGGTTTCTCTGTGGGGGACTTGGAATCGGGCTCATTTGCCTATACCTCATCGCTTTACTCCATCGCTCGCAAGACGAACCAGGGACCTTGATGCTTCCAAAGGTTAAAGCCGAACCCCCCTTACAATTTGCAGGAGCTCATTTACTAACTCTTCTACTAGCTTATTCGTCTAATATTCCGGCCGATAGCAGCGATTATCATTATCTGTCTGCCGCTGGCCCATGACTTGGGTATCTCGTCCCTTTTATCCATCGTCATGGCGCTGATTGTCCTCTGCCTCATATGGGAAAATATCACGTCATTAATGCGGGGCGCGAAATTTTGGGAGAAATGGGAGAATACAAAATATCCAGAGGGAAGCCAAACTAAAGACCCCTAGACTCGAAATTAATTTCCTTTTCACTGTTTCTGTTTAGGCCCTGTTTTCAACCCTTGAATACTGCTATTTGTCAGTATTCGAACACCAGCTTTTGTTTATTATAAAAATAAGCATTTCGCAAATTTTTGTATACTAGCAACATTACTAGTATTTGAATGCTAGCATTTGCTCTCATTCAAATTGCAGTTTTTTCAAAGCTATCTACTATAAGTTATTCTTAAAAAAAAAAACTAAGTCTTTAAAACTATCTTTTACTACTTTTATAACCTTTCTAAGGCATAGATTCTTTCTAAAGCTTTATATTTTGCGCTTTTCTAAAATATATCTTATATTAATTTATTTAATAATAGAAAATATAAAAAGCAATTATTTTATTAGTTACTTTTTATTTAATAATAAAATAAACTTAAGCTTGCAAATATTATAATAATAAGAAGTAATTACTAATTATTAGAAATAAAGAAATAAAAGATTAATAGATTTAAAACTAAAACATTTATAATTATAATAAGTATTAATTATTTATATCTTATAAAATACTTTTTATTTAATAAATACTAGCTTTAAATATTAAAGTTTAAGGCCAATTTACTAAAATTATTACTAGTAGCTATATATAAGCCATAAAATTGGTAATAGTTTTACTTTAAACTTGTTTTAAATAACTAGACTTTTATAAAGAACTATTATAGCCTTATTTGGGCTTGCAAGTTTACTTATTATAATATTATAATAAATTAAAAGTTTTAGTATTTTTGTATAAACTTATTTATAAAATAATACTTGCTTTCTTTAAATTTTTTTTTAATTAATAAAGAAAGTTTAATATTAATATATATATTATAATATAAAAGTATTTTGTTTTATTTTATTAATAAATACTTATATTTTTTATATAATTATTTTAATATATAATTATTTTAATATATAATTATTCTAATATATAATTATTCTAATATATAATTATTCTAATATATAATTATTCTAATATATAATTATTCTAATATATAATTATTCTAATATATAATTATTCTAATATATAATTATTCTAATATATAATTATTCTAATATATAATTATTCTAATATATAATTATTCTAATATATAATTATTCTAATATATAATTATTCTAATATATAATTATTCTAATATATAATTATTCTAATATATAATTATTCTAATATATAATTATTCTAATATATAATTATTTTAATATATATATAAATAGTAATAAATAAAACAATTATAATATAAGTTTATAAGATTATAAAAAGATTATATTTTATAAATATAATAGTTTAATATATATAAAGAATTAATAAATAAATAAAAATAATAAAAATAATATATCTTTAAATAATAATAATTATAATTATATAATATAAATATAAAACTCTTAGTAATAAATTATTTGGCTTAAAGAATATTAATTATATATATAAGTAAATAAAGTTTTATTAATTTCTTATAAAATAGAAAATAAGTAAAGCTTATTTTATATATAATTATATTAAGTAAAAAAACTCTATATCTTTTTAATTAATTACTAAAATAATAAATTTTAATTAATAATTCGAAAATATATATTAAATATATATTAATTATATAATATTAATTATTAACTCTAAATATAAATCTTAATAAATTAATATAGAATTAAATTTAATTAAATTTTTTAAGAATTAAAAAATAGATATAATTAAGTATTATTATAATTAAATAACTAAAGTTATGTTTTTTATTATTTATAATAAAGAGGAATTTAATTAAAGAACTTATTATTAGTATTAAAAAAAATAGTTAAATAAAAGTAATAATAAAGAAATATTAAAATACTAAAATATTTTTTAAATAAAAAAAATAAAGTTATTATAATAAAGGCCTTATATATAATTAATATAAAAAATAAAGGCTTATATATTATAATATAATTAGATATAAAGGAAAGAAAGGTATTATACGAAGGGCCAGAGCTTAAATACAGGGAGTGTGGTCACGTGAGATCAAGTCATGTGGCCAGCCTGCAGTTAATACGCAATATATATTAAATTTAATAAAATAAAATTATAAGCTTCTTATAATTCAATATTAAAGATTTCTTTCTTTAATTAAATATAATAATTAATAATGAAATAAGCTATAATATTTCTAATATAACCTTAATTTTTTTAAGAAAAATCTTAATTATATTATTATATTTTATAAAAAAGCAAATTTTAGACTTTATTAAAATTACTTATATATAGCTCGAAATTTAGAAAAAGATATTATAAATATTAATTTTGTAATAAGAAATGTAATACTTTTTTTAAATAAAATGTTTTTATTATATTATTTAATAACTTTAAAAAGAACTCGCTATTATTAATTCTTTATATAAGAAATAATAATAATAATATAATAGCTTTGATTTAAGTTATTGTTTTTTATATTATTATTTCAACTTTAAAGTAGTTAATTATATATTCCCTATTAACTATTATTAAACCCTATTATAATTTTAGTATAAAAATAAAAAAGTATACTTGCTTTAGGGAATAGAAATAAGGCTTAGAACTCCCAGAATCAGAATAATGGCTAGTTGTCACCAAGTAGTCGTTTACTTACATCCTTCGGTGCCCAGTTCAGGAGACAAATCAAATTTCCAGACTACTTCAATTGGACGGTTTGGCCCGCCTTCTGGAGCAATGCCAAAAGGTAGAGTGATGTTTGCACAGACTAAAGGCAATGCTTCTTCAAAGCGTGTACTTAAGCGAAGGATAGTCTAACATAACCCTTTCTAAGAGTGCCTCGAGCCTTGTTGTCAACCAACGGTCAATATGGCAAACAAAAGCTCACACAAGATCTGGGTATGGACAATAAGACCTCTTGTTCTCATCAAGAAGATAGTATTGACGACTCTCTGTCGTCCCCGGCTCACCATAATGCGCCACGTCAGGACTGACCGGAATCTCATCAAACTCAGCAACCAGAGCTCTAACTTTCTCACACGCTCCATAACGTTTCGCAGGAGTATTAAACAGGATATCGAAGATCCATTTCGGCTGCATCACGATTACTAGGTTTGGCGTATATCGAGATTGTCGTTTGGAATGCGCGGGCGTGAGGACGGCCGGGAACCATGGAACCCCGTCGAAGCAGAAGGCCCATTTATTTGTGCTTGTGTCTGTTGGGATATCTTCCGGCCAAGGCTTGGTGTCAAAGACTCTGAGACCTCGTAGGAAAGCCCAAAATTCGAGGTTGTATTGTTCGACCGAGCGTGGTGTAGGGGTGGTGGGCGGCGCTAGTACCACGAGCGTGGTGTTGGGGCCGCATGATCGAGACAAAGGGAGGTATTGGCGTAACGCCTTGCCAATTAAACGCACATTGCGTGGTTCCGAGGGATCGTCGGATTCGATGAAGACGTAGCGTTGATCGTTGGATTTGTAGCCCTTGGTAGCGTAGACACATGGGAAAGTTTTCATTCCGTACTCTTTGGAGAGAAGCACAGTGGCGAGGTCGTCATAAACCTTCCGCTGCCAAGTTCCTGTTGCATATGTTTTCTCGATTTGATTTCTAATTCCTGTCAGTAACAATGCAATGACTGGCAAAAGACAATTTATGATTCCTTACTTGTCCATAATTAAGAATTTTTCATGTTCCGCTGCGGTAAGTTCGTTGGTATTTTTAGATGTTGTATTCGAGATGAATACTTCGAGCACACGACGAAGACTCTTCATCGGGTGCAGAAAGGAGGCACGAATATTTTGGGGCCTTAGGTAGTCTGACAGCCAGGCTGCCGAAAGACCCAGGAGGAAGACGATACCGTAAGCTGTAAAGTTCATAATTGTGGATTGAACAGATTAAAAGATTTGATTTAGTTCAGAAATTTCGAGGTAGAGAAGTAATAACATATGAGGAGACTCGGAATGTTTATAAAGTCATCTGGAACTAGAAATTTCGTCGTACAGTGAGCAACGCCGATGGATTGTCTACCATTACGAGATGACGGCCATTTAGGCCAAGTTGGTTACAAGTGTTACAGCCATGGCACCACTTTCCATAATTAATTAGTGCGTGCCTTCTACATTGGGCTCTCACCGCCGGTAAGCTGAGTGCAGGGCGATTTGTAACTTTTAGTCACACGCCTCAAGCTTATATTGAGTAGTGGCGAGAGATTGGTAGCGCATCCCCTGCATAGTTTATAGCTCACTGTTTACGAGACCTGCATGGAATCTTGCATGGAAATCCCCTTTCTAATGGGAGATGTTTCAAGAGGCTGTTCTGTGTTAACTAGTTAGTGGCAATGACGAGCTTATTTAGGGCCTGATCTACAGAATTGAGAATTCTTCTGCCCCGCTATCTTACGTTTCATATCATCGCCTTTAGCATGGTTGCATTGAATCTCATTGTGGGGTGTCTTCGAGGTATTGGAAACTTTTAGGCGCTGTCTAGATTTCATTAAGGCAAATTAGGATACATGAATTCCATTTAGGGTGATATTAGATGCTCTGCTGTAGGCTCATGGCAGATACTTGCAGTAAGCTCTGACTCCCTGTGACAGCTACCTTGCATTAAATTGCGCATATGATCTGCTTAGCGGTTTTCTTCCTTGCACGTCTATCAACGACTTTACTCGCACTCAGTCCAGGGAAAGATGACTGCACTCGCCGAGTCGCTGTTAGAGCGGATGCACGACCTAGCCGCAACATAAAGTATGTGCCTCTATTATCCACAATAATCTTGAACCGGAAGTGTGTTTCCCCTTCCCCGGCTGCATGGACAAGGGACAGACCAACATACCGTACTGTAATCGAAAATGAATAGGGCACGGGGCCGATCCGAGTAAGCTCGGCCCGCTTTGACTATTGCACAACATACATTCCTTGCATTATTTCCCGACCAGACTCGCAATTGATGTCCTTGACATCCAATTGATTGGAAACGTGGGCAACTTCTCATGTTGTCATATGTTAGTAGTCCCGAGTTGAGCCGAGTGCCCCGCACCCGCCTTAGAGTTGTCTCCAACGTGCCGAGGATACGCGGCACTCTAATTTAATTATTCGGCTTCAAGCACTGCGGCGGAGCCTATATCTGTTTAGCTGCGGCCAGGTGCGCACTTCCACAACCAATAATACCGCGAATTAGAGGGAATCAGAAGTAGATCGAGAATTAGAACTTATGATTCGCTGCAAAAGCTCGCTTAAACACGCACGGACAAGTGCACAGATAAACCATTCATTGGGCACTACGGAGGTAAGCCCATAAGTATTACGACGCCACCACAAGGGTGTGAACGCCACACGCAACTCAATTTCAACACTCATAACTTTTCCTATATATAACCAAAAGCCTTTATTTAAATACTAAAATAATCCCTAAGAGGAGATCTATATATTTATCTATTTTTTGTGCTTTGGTAGTGCGTTGTAGTTATAATATAAGGTGGTAAAACTGAGATCCCTGCAGGTGGCGTCGTAATACTTATGGGCTGTATCTCTATGGTAGGGATCAAACACACCTACTTCGTAATACTATCGCGGCATCTTATTTATTTAGAAACTGACAGAGCATTGGCTCAATGCCCCTTCAGGCAATCTGGCGGAATAACTAATATAGAAGAGTTTACTAGCCAATGCCCATACTACTTTACTGCCCACTTGTGACCTTATCGAAATACCAAAACTATATAAAAGTACTTAGAAAATCCCCAAAACTTCATAGATTATCCCTTTATCAGGTGAGATATTAGCCGCGCCAGCGGCCGTACAAATGCGGATGGCTTGATTAGAAGAGACGGCTGTATTCTGACTAAACAGGGGATGGTCGCGTGTGGCCGCTAGCAAGCTAATGTCTCACCAGACGAAGGGATAGAGAATACTCTGAGGAGTCTGAATATAGCGTTTATTTCCCCAAGATGAATTGTTATTATTATCAAGTCTAAGTTTGAGTAGTTAAGTAATATTGGGGTTATCCTTTTATAAACGCCAGATTTATTCATTTCCTTGACTTTATCCTAATAAGAAAGTAGCTAATTATTAAAATGGGATTAATATATTAGTATAAAATCGATATATTAAGAATTAATAGTAAGTAGAATAACTAGATATAACAGAGTGAAGTCTGAAAGCAGAGGGGAAAGTAATTAAAGTAAGGGTCTTTATTCCTATTACTTATTAGTAATATTAATAATACTAAGCCCGCTTTCTCTAATATATTATAAATTAGCTAATAAAGTAAAGTAATTAAAATAATAATATATTAGTAAACTTAGTAAGCTTTATAAGTAATATATAATAAATAAAAGTAATAAGTATTAAATTAGTAATTAAATCTAATATTAGAAGAAGTAATAAGTTAGCTAAAATAATATATTAATTTAATATATCTTCTTTTTATAATTAAAGTTTAATATTAATAAGGCTAATAAGTTCTAGCCTTAACTATAATAGTTTAAAAGCCGGTCTAGTAAATAATTTTAGTACTAATATAATTTCTAATAAAATTATATCTAATATTAATATACTTGATTTTTTTTTATAAAAATCGTGTATTTATAACTAGATTTATTTCTATTTTAATTAAGCTTATAAAAATTAATATTTCTTTAAATAATTACTTTAGTTATAAGGCTTCTTTAATTACTAGTATTAAAATAATATATTTAGTTATTATAATAGCTCTAATAATAGTTTTTTTTATTTAATATTAGTTTAGCTAATAAAATTACTACTTAGAGTAAAAACCATATTAGAAATTAATTTATAATTAGTATTTAAATATCTAATAAGCCTTTTATTAAATAAAGTATTATATAAAATACTTATATTAAATAATTCCTTAATATATTATATTATATAAAGCCTTAAAATATAAATTAAAACGGCTTAAATAATTATAATAAAGCAGAAATAAAGTTTTAAAGCTAAAGAAAGCTATATAAGTAATTTAGTTCGACTTTAATATTTCGTAATATGTTACGTGGCACCAGTCACCTGGTGCCACTGCACGTGACTTAGCGTGCAGCCAGTGCTTCCTTAGCCCGGCAGACAGCCTTTAGTTCAATTCAAGCTCTTTACTACTACTATAATATCACCTTATTATAATATAATATTAATATTTATTTTATTAAATATTATAAGTTTAGTTATTAAAGTAATAATAAATATATAATCTTTTATCTAATACCTTAAAAATATATTTATAAAATATTAATTTTAATATAAAAACGCTAAATTATCTTATAAATATATAATTTCTATATTTAGAAATATTTTAATTTCTCTTATATTAGTTATATTAAATTTTTAATATTATTAATATAATTTATATTTTTTCTAATAATTATTATATTATTCGCATAAATAATAATTAAAAAAATAACTAATTAATCTTATATTTCTAGTAAATATAAAGTACTAAATTAATAAATAATTACTAGAACTTAATAAAATAAAATAATTATTTAATTATTTAAAATTAAATTCTAGAAACTTATTTCAAGCTATAAATATTCTTTTATAAGTAATAAATAAGGTTTATTTCTTTAATAAAACCAAGAGATTATTTTATATAATATTTCTCTTCTAATTCGTTATATAAAAATATTTATTAAATATAAAGCCTGTATTTAATTACTAAAGCTAATATAATTTAAATAATAAAAAGCTTAATTATAAAAGCAAAGGTTTTAAAATAGTTTATATTATATTTTTATATATAATTTTATATTATAAATATAAACTTATAATATTTATTAAACTTATTTTTAAAGACTTAATAATATTTTTATATTATTAAATTCTAGATATAGTTTTATAAATAGAAATCTAGTTTCTTCTTAATTAAAGGTTTCTAAAAATAGATATTTAAACTAGAGAAAGCTTTTTTAATTAATAATAGAAGTTTAAAAGCTTTTATATTCTAAATACTAATTATTAAAATATAATAATTTATTTATTTCTCGGTAATTTTAATTAGTTTTAAATCTCTAGAAAGTAATTTATTTCTAAAACTAATTATTTTAGATACTTTCTAATTTATAAAACATTATTTAAAAATATTTATAAATATTATAAGTTTTTAATTATTCTTTTTAAATAAGGGTTTAAAGAACTAACTTAGATTAGAAATGCCCGAAATTATATTATATAATGTATTTGTAATAATATTTCTTTTAATATTAAAGTAATTTTCTTTATTATTATTAGTATAGCTATTTCTTTAGGAATTATATATATAATTACAGGACTCAGGATACGGGATATAAGTAATGAGATATGGGTAATAGGATATGAGATACGGGATATAGTTATATAACCTTATATCCTATAAATAATTTAACTAGTAGATTAGACTTTATTAGGCTTAGTAGATTTAGAGATTATATATTAATACTATAATACTATAATTCTTATTTCTAAATAATAACTACTTTACTAACTTTAATATACCTGTATTTCATATATATTATATAATAGTATTATATATTACTAGTAAACTAATAATTATTTTTTAATAAATAATTAAGCTATTATTTTCTAATATTAATAATAGTAATATTTTTATAATTTAAGTC